GCTTGCAAATCAGGAGCAAGGCAGTTGGTGCAGGCTCTAGGGACTCTCACACATTCTTCCAGTGGACATACCCTCTTTCTGGAGTTACTCCCGTCATGGAGATGGGAAAAGATCCCACTATAACTGGCTTTCCCCATCATATCTGCCTCTTTTTTAGCTCAGGAGAGGGAGACATTCATCTTAGCCAGAGTTGGCCTTTTCAATGCATCTGGGTTCCGGGAAAAGAGGATTAGAGACCTTTCTAAAAGCAGTCTGGTAGTACCTGCCCCCAAGGAATTTTTTTAAAACGTCTAACAATGCATTCCTCAGGCAAAAACGTGCTCTTGAGACATAAGGATCCTGTGGAATAAAAGTGATCCTTACCAGGGATCAATTAGATATAGACATGGGTGAACTCCAGCTACTGGAAGTTACCCCAACCCTAGCATTTACTTAATAGCTATTCTTTGAGAGGGCCAACTACATGCCCCTTACCCCCGCAGTGCATCGTTGCATTCTTCTTGTCCTACAAAACCCTTAATACAGAGGGGGAAGGAGTCCAGGAAAGCTGGCTGTATTTTAAAGAAGCCTTATTGAGGGCTCAGGAACAAACCATCCTGATGTGCAGAAAGAATAGCAAATATGGCAGGCAACCAGCTTGGCTTAACAGTGAAATCTTCAGTGAGCTTAAACGCAAAAAGGAAGCTTACAAGAAGTGGAAACTTGGACAGATAACTACTAGGGAGGAGTATAAAAATATTGCTCGAGCATGCAGGAAAGGCCAAAATACAACTGGAGTTGCAGCTAGCAAGGGATGTGAAGGATAACAAGGAGGGTTTCTACAGGTATGTTAGCAACAAGAAAAAGGTCAAGGAAAGTGTGGGACCCTTACTGAATGGGGTAGGGAACCTAGTGACAGATGATGTGGAAAAATCTGAAATACTCAATGCTTTTTTTTGCCTCGGTCTTCACAGATAAGGTCAGCTCCCACACTGCTGTCCTGGTCAACACAATATGGGGAGGAGGTGAGCAGCCCGCAGTGGTCAAGGAACAGATTAAGGACTATTTAGAAATGCTGAACATGCACAAGTCCATGGGTCCAGATCTAATGCATCCCAGGATGCTGAGGGAATTAGCTGATGTGATTGCAGAGCCATTGGCCATTATCTTTGAAAACTCGTGGCGATCAGGGGAGGTCCCAGACGATTGGAAAAAGGCAAATATAATGCTCATCTTTAAAAAAAGGAAGAAGGAGAACCTGGGGAACTACAGACCGGTCAGCCTCACCTCAGTCCCTGGAAAAATCATGGAGCAGGTCCTCAAGGAAACCATTTTGGAGCACTTGGAGGAGAGGAAGGTGGATTCACCAAGGGCAAGTCATGCCTGACCAACCTGATTGCCTTCTATGATGAGATAACTGGCTCTGTGGACATGGGGAAAGCAGTGGACGTGATCTATCTTGACTTTAGCAAAGCTTTTGATACGTCCCCCACAGTATTCTTGCCAGCAAGTTAAAAAAGTATGGATTGGATGAATGGACTATAAAGTTGATAGAAAGCTGGCTAGATTGTCAGGCTCAACGGGTAGTGATCAACGGCTCGATATCTAGTTGGCAGCCGGTATCAAGCGGAGTGCCCCAGGGGTCGGTCCTGGGGCTGGTTTTGTTCATCATCTTCATTAATGATCTGATGATGGGATGGATTGCACCCTCAGCAAGTTTGCAGATGACACTAAGCTGGGGGGGGGGGTAGATATGCTGGAGGGTAGGGATAGGGTCCAGTGTGACCTAGACAAATTGGAGGATTGGGCCAAAAGAAATCTGATGAGGTTCAACAAGGACAAGTGCAGAGTGCTGCACTTAGGACAGAAGAATCCCATGCACTGCTACAGGCTGGGGACCTACTGGCTAAACAGAAGTTCTGCAGAAAAGGACCTGGGGATTACAGTGGATGAGAAGCTAGATATGAGTCAGCAGTGTACCCTTGTTGCCAAGGCAACTATCATATTGGGTTGCATTAGTAGGAACATTGCACTGGCGAGGCCACACCTGGAGTATTGCGTCCAGTTTTAGGCCCCCCACTACAGAAAAGATGTGGACAAATTGGAGAGAGTCCAGTGGAGGGCAATGAAAATGATCAGGGGGCTGGGGCACATGACTTATGAGGAGAGGCTGAGGGAACTGGGCTTGTTTAGTCGGCAGAAGAGTGGGGTGGGGGGATTTGATAGCAGCCTTCAACTACCTGAAGGGGGGGTTCCAAAGAGGATGGAGCTTGGCTGTTCTCAGTGGTGGCAGATGACAGAACAAGAAGCATTGGTCTCAAGTTGCAGTAGGGGAGGTCTAGGTTGGATATTAGTTAACACTATTTCACTAGGAGGGTGGTGAAGCACTGGAATGGGTTACCTAGGGAGGTGGTGGAATCTCCATCCTTAGAGATTTTTAAGGCCTGACTTGACAAAGCCCTGGCTGGAATGATTTAGTTCGTGTTGGTCCTGCTTTGAGAAGGGGGTTGGACTAGATGACCTCCTGAGGTCTCTTCCAACCCTAATCTTCTACGATTCTAGTGCAGCTTAACCAGGAATAATTCAGCTCTGGGCACTTCATTGTCAGAAAGCTAACACATGAGATGGAGATCAGACAACAAAAATTGTTAGGTTGCTGAGAGAGTTTACATAAGGAGAAATTTGGTGTTATTAGACAATGTACTATAACACCCTTGGAATGTTAATATTTGAATGGTAAATGTCAATATTTTAATTCAGACTACAATAAGATACGATATGATTAGCTTTTTAACCGATGATCACCAGTCCGGGAAATATTGAAACCAGCACAGCTCCTCAGGTGTTTCCCCACACCTGCATGATTTGGTCAGGTATTTTTGTCTACTGGGCATTCGCTATATTCCTGTTTCCTACATTTGAAAGCAAGAATAGATTAATTCAGCATATGATTAAAGTTATTGATGTGCTAGACCAAGTTTTAATGGAACTCTCTTAATCAATTAAACCATATAACAGGAGAGAGACCTCCAGTAGCCAACACCTTTCTTTTTAATAAGACACTTACAAGTGTCAATTATTTCACTAATCAAAAGTCTATCTAATGGTTGGATGATTTTGTTCTATGATTAGTGCATTTTATAGCCACACAGGAGACTTGGGTTCTATAATTTGGTCTTTGACTCCCTCAGGGTGGCAGACTATCAACTCTTGCTGAGGACAGTTTATATGTATAGCTCTGAAACAAGTACGTAGCAGGGGGAAAAAGTATTAATGGGCTCCTAGAGAATCCTCCAGGCCCAAATGAAATTGTGGGTATGAAACAGACTGAAGTGGGGGCTTTTCCTTGTGAGTGCAGGAAAGTCTGGCAGATTAGAAATAGGCATTTGTTAACATTGAGAGGACATTGCTGTTCACCTTCCTAGCCTTCCAGACTCCCTCCCTGGCTCTCCCTCCTACCCCAAAAAACTCCCACCATCCTCCCGATATTAACAAGAAACTTCAGACCCAGATACCTCTGTGCACAAGCTGCCCTCTTCCCTGAAACAGAGCATTTGACAGCACAGGAGTTTTAAAAACTGTTCCAGATTGACCACCACCAGGGTTTGGTGTGAATCACCCACTGCATCTCAATGCATGCAGTTCAAGAAAGAGGGCAGCAGCTGGTGCACTGTCCTGGCCCCCACAAGGTCAGACAAAGCTGTAACCGCTGGAAGGTGGAATGGAAGAGCTGCACATAAGGACTGAAGAGCAAAGGAAAGTCAGGCTGAGGCAGCTTGCCAGTTATACTGAAAGGAAGACTAAAGGTAAGGTGATCAGTATCAGTTCAGATATTAGGGGATCCAGAGAAAAATCTCATTTTTGTACAGGATGTCAACAAATGTACAGCAAAGAGCAATCCTGCTCTGACAGGAACCAGACTAGCTAATATCTAATGAAATCTATAGTGAAATGATCCAATTTGCTGTTCAGAATATGGCTGCCTATATTTTCAATAAGTAATTAGTTCAAAACAGAAAAGGTAGGCAGAAGACTAACCTATTAAGATTAGAGAAACACACTGAAACACTGTCATGGAGACTGGTATTTTACTCAGGATGTGTGTTTTACTGGATACTGAGAGAGACAACCAGTCCATATCATTTGAATTTCTGGTTTACATACTACAGGATAACTGTGTAAACGGAACAAAAGATTTGAGGGAAAGGTAGCACCTGAATTAAACAGCTTGTTTTTTAGAAATGCTGTGCATCTGGAGCCTCCATTAGACTTTAGGATGAGGCTACTCAACAATTCTTAAAAAAACCCTTAAAAGTCAAGTTTACCTGCAAATTCACTTAATTGACAGTGCAGAAAATCAGTGCAAGTTTTTATAACTTTGCACAATTTGCTTTACAAATCACAACTGCTTGACTAGAGTAATGCAAGTTTAATATATGCGATTATGAAAATCTGCACTACAATGAAGGAGTTCTGATGTAAATAAAATAAGTGATGATGTGGTCCAAAAAACAAACAAACAAAAACGCAATACCACTTTACTTAGCAGATGGGCCCTTGTGTGTATTCAGCATTCCATCAGCTTACTTTGAGACATTTTCATTACTTTATTCCTGTCAGTGTGTTGGCACTAAAAACCCACCATGGGAGAGTGAGCTGGATTGTCTTACAGCTCATGCATCCAAATGAGTTTCAAATGCAGTTATTTTTAATAACTGGTGATCATGTGAAAGTCAGAAACAGACTTTCAGATCTCAGGTCTGGCTTCAAGTAAAGAATTCTAAGAGATTAGCACAGAACCCCAAGTTACTCTGTACATATACAAGTCACTTTTCAAAATATAAACCTCATTTATATAGTTTTGTTTCCCACATTACATGTAGGAGCAGAAAGCCTTTGTTTTGCAGATGAAGTACAATACAGTATTTGAAAAACTATGATGCACTACATCCGAATACATTTTAGCATATTCCCCCTTCCCCTCCGAAACAGGAAAGTAACATGGAAGACAGATAAATGTATTAGGTTACTGTTCTAACCATTTATTTTTTGTTTCAAGGTAACATAGTTCTTTTGATGCATTTATTTCTTTTCAATCTTCTATATAGTCATAATAAAGAAAATCCTCCAATTTGTCAGAATTTTCTTTTGATTTATACAAATGAAATGATCACCATAAATGTTACACATTGGAGTGTAGATCAAAAAGTGCACAATAATCTGTCCTGCTGTTCAGTTATTTTCATGTGTCAATGCCTAATACTGTACTTTGAACAATAATACTGTTTTCACTGCATAAACTGCTTGAGAGAGGATACAATCACTTTGGTAATGTCCAACCATCATTTCACAAAGCAAACAATATTTGTCTTTAGTTTTGTTCACAACACTGCTAGTGTGGCTCTCTGAACCATCTCATCAAATACAGAATTGCGGACATTTGAATAAAGCTTGATTACTTTTTTTTAATACATCCAACATTCTAAGACATTTATTAATCCTTCTTCCTCCTCCTCCCCACATTTAATACACAATTCACCACAACTTGAACCAAAGCAAAGTGAACTAAAACAGTACACAAAAACAGTGTCTCAGGTGTCCTTTAATGAAGATATAGGATCTGTATTTCCAGAGGGACAGATGTACAATGGGATTTGGAAGAATGAAATAGCAGCTCTCTCCTTGCATCTGCTGCAGCACTCACTTTAACATAGCATGGTTTAACATCTCAATTTTTTATAATATAGCACACAACAGCACAGGTTCCAAGGGTACAAAAATGTGCCCATTAAAAAGGACTTATTTGGGACACCCCTCCACCCCCCAACTAAGGGTCATTTGGGACTTCATTGGCTCTAGTTACTGTCCGTTATTTTTAATTGCCAAATTCAGAAGGTAGTTCAGTACAGTACTTCAGTTTACCTAGCCAAACTTGTTTGTAGGAGACGTCAAAGGTTTTAAAGAATGGCTAGTAATTTGTTGGTGCCCAATATGGGACACCCTAAAGGGGCCTGATTTTCAGAAGGAGGGTGCTCAACACTGTCAGAAAATCTGGCCCCTGTAAGCGATCTCAACAGACACCCAAAAATTGTGGCATCCACAATCACTAGTCACTTTTGAAGGATTTGGTCTTTCATTTTTAACTTGCATTCAAAATACATCACTGGCCCTTGACTGAACCAAGTTAATACCTATCCAGTTCCATTGCCTGAGTCATCTAAAAAGTAAGAAGTCACAAGGCATGTTTAGTCATGCAGCATCCAATTCCTCACAAGTGCATTGTGCTGCATGTCAACAGAAGCCTCATTTAGTGTGCAGTTCCAACATCTTACTAGTACTGCATCTCAAGCCATCATAGTAAGGGTGTGCTTGGTTACAAATGTCCATACTGTAAGACAGTAGGTCTTAAAGAGATATATATAGTCTCAGAGAGAAATTTTACAATCTGAATATGAGCGATTGCTTGTAACTTGTGACTCCAGTGTTGGCAGACATGCTCCTTTGTATTTAATCTGTCCCACACATCCCTACTGTTGATAGCTGCTAATTCCCAGCCTGTCTTAACAGCAGAGCTTGATCTGCTTAGGTAACCTTTGGTGCATCTAAAAGTCTGAAGGATGTAAACAAGACAATTATGTTTAATTGATTTCTTCAGAGGAGATGCAAATCTTTGCTCTTGTAGAACAATGAGCTATTAATGCATAGAGTCAGGAAAACCACTGTAAAAGCTCAACGTTATAGCCTTTCTACTCCCAACCTCAAAAGAAACCAAACACACATACCTGACATGACTGTAGGAGATTCTTTTCACCACTACTATGCTTCTCTGCAGTGCAGAGAAGGAATTGTACAAGTATTAATTGTTCACTGCCCAGCAATTTGGTCACATGATTAAACAATAAATGTTATCTGAGAAAATATTGTCTAAAATTAGATCTTGTACTTCATTTTTTAAAAAGTCAAATGGACATATTGTGCCTTGAGGATCAGATAGGATGATTTCTCCCCACCCTCTGTTTTTGTGTTGCAGCATCATGTGATCATAACCTGCTCTCCATGACTGATGCAGTGTTAATTAGGTAATCAACATTACCAAGAAACAATCTGACAGGGAACACAGAAACCAAATGGACATCCTTCGTATCCTCAGTTGCTCCATTTGACTAAGAACAGGAAAACCAAGACTAGTTAAGGTATTGCTTTCCTCAAGATGAAAAAACAGACGTGTATAGACGAATGACCCAATATTGACTCTGAAGGACATTTCATGCAATCCATTTTGGATTTCTTACATCCCCTCTTCCTCAATTGAATTATAAATAACTGCTAAGCAAAAAAATTTCCTCCTGCATCCTGTGTTGCAAAAAGGAGAAAAACTGAACTCAAAGCTAGTGTAAAGGGGGATGTTGAGAATATTAATCTTTTCAAAAATTTGGTCCTGAAAAATTTACATGTGCAGTAGAAGTCAACTGAATATTAATGCTACACTGACTAAGCAATATATTCTACTGTGTGATATGGCAGTGCTCTGACTGAACAACAAGATTTTAAAACATACCCTGGAATCTGTCCTCTCTACCCATCACAAACTTGGTGCCAATACCTTTCAGAAACTTCACTCATGAGTTCAGTCAACCAGTCACATCACTTCTGACAATCTTAATCCAGAACTGAAGTGTCGGATCAATTTCTTGCAGATTGGTCAATCTGACCTTCAACAAACATATGAATTAAGCTCACTGGACATTACATTTGGTTTCTTTTAGCTCAAAGCAGAAAGGTGCACTTAGTAAAGGCACTAAAGCACCATGCTACCAGCAATTTACAGTGGCATTTCAATGAGAATACTCAGAGTTATCACACTTGCCTAAGCTCATTTCCCTTTAGTTAAATTTTAAAAAGCCCAACTTCTTAAACACAAAAAATAGAGCACAATTAAGATAGACATCGCTCCCATCCTTTATATAGCATAAGCTAAAAAGCCATGATTTTTTTATATCTAGAAGTCATTTTATACCGTACATTTTATATCCTTAATTTCATATGAAAGGGACAAGTCCTTTTAAGGCTGGGAGTTGGTGGTGGGTAATGTTGCAGTACTCAGACACTGATGTACAAGACATTTATTTGCAGCAGGATGAGGACAACTATGGCAGAAATGGAGAAACAAAACTGGACTGATCTTGTTACTATTAAAACTGTTCTGACAGCAGTTCACATAATCTCTGAGATACGGTTTCTTTACTTGTTCGTAGTGTGAGTCTATACATCTGAAAGAGAGCACATAAGAAATCTATGTATTATAAAGACAACAGTAAAACATGTCTGCATTTAGATGGACTTATCAGAAAAAGCGTACAGATTAAGTAACAAAGCAGTACAGGTGCCACTTGGTCGTGATATGAGCAATGGCTAGTAATTTTCATGTGAGACACTGACAACTTTATTCAGGCACAAAAAAATATTTAAAGTCTGCGGGGACAGGTCCTCTGAGTTCTGAAGGTGTTTAATGTACTTTTCCCACTGGGCTTTGCCCAGATCTAACTGTACTCTAAAATAAATAGATTTTCCTGCTTAACTACCTCTCTAGAAATTTCAAATTTCTGCTACCATACCTTGGTGCTGAAATATGGACAATCCTTGAAAGCCCGTTAAGTGATCAGCAGCAGGAAGAGGAGGAATTGCTTCTGAGCTACTAAAAGCATTCTCACTAACCCCATTAACTTGGGAAGCAGAGATTTGTAAACGAAACCAGGATTCTCAAGCAATACATTTCATTCCCACTGAGAACCAACACAACCCCCCAAAACATGGATTTTCTTCAACTCCAATATCACCAGGAAATATAAAACACAGCCATCAGGGCTGGCTTTAGGCCAATTCCACCAATTCCCCCGAATCGGGCCCCGCGCCTAAGAGGGCCCCGCGCCCAGTGGCAGGGCCGCTGGGGGGTAGGGGGGGAAGAAGTGGCCGAGAATCCCTTCCCTGGCTAGAGGCTCCTTTTTAATTTTTACTCACCCGGCGGTGCTCCGGGTCTTCGGCAGCAGATCCTTCAGGCGCCAAAGACCCGGAGCGAGTGAAGGACCCACCACCAAAGACTAGGAGCGCCGCCCGGTGAGTACAAGCCCCACGTGTTTTTTTTCGCGTGTTTTTTTTTTTTTTAAAGGCATCCCTGACGGGGCCCCGTTGAAACTATTCGAATCGGGCCCCGCACTTCCTAAAGCCGGCCCTGACAGCCATCATGTGCAGTCCCTTTGATTTTACAATTGTAGCAAACACTATTCCTACAGATTTGCATCCTTCCGCTGCTGGTTCACAAAGTAGTAAACAAAACAGAGCTATGTTTCGTTCATTTAGAAACAGATGAGGCAAAAAAAATCAGTTTTGTCTAAGATGTTGAAGGGAAAATTTAGTAAGAAGTTTTTAACTTTCAAGGGGGTATCAAACAAATACAAAAGACTATTAAGATTAATTTAGTGTCCTCTGCACAATAAGGAGAGTTGTAGTTTGATGATAGGATGGAATATTTTCCAGGGAAGAATCTCAGAGTAACACAATATGTGAGCATGCAAAACAGCAGAGGCCTTTGGAAAGCTGAAAAGTAGCCTGCTGAAAGCCAAAGCGAGAACAGCTGCCTCAGTTTTCAACCTATTTGGGGTTTATTGACATTGACAACTGAGTCTGAGACATCACATAACTACTTCTACTACAAGTTATTTTTACTAAACACACAAGGTCTGTTTAGTCAAATGCATTGGTAAGATAAGTTTTATTCCGTTTCTGTAAACCAGCACTTATATTTAACTTGCAAATTCAAAAGCAGGTACCTGTGCCTGAAGGTTGGGTTCAAGACGCAGCAAACATCCAATCTGGGTAGTTTTTGTGTGTATTATACCAGCACCAACAAAATTAGCAGGGTTGGGATCTACCTCTTCAAGGAGAGCAGAGCCAAAGCCAATGATCTATCAAAGAAAACCCAAAAAAGAGACTTTGTTTAGAGACAGTGCAGGGACAGGAAGACAAAAGTACAAAAAGTGTCCAAGAATGCTCATGAAACAGCCTATTCACCTGATCACGGTCACCAGGTAATTGATTTAGTTAAATAGGCAGGGAACTTCTTAGCTCTGAAAATAAGTTTTAAAGCATCAATAATATTATAAGAATTCTGACATCTTAACACTACCACTATACCACAACCTGAACTTTTAAGATAAACTTGTTTGGCACTCCAAGTAGTAGCAACACTTATAAATAGGATGAGGGGTCTGAGTTCTCTGGATTCAGACAGTCCTTCCTCCACACCTGTCCCTCATACCTTCCTGTCCTCCTCCATTTCTCCTAGCCCCTCTCCCTTTCACTGTCTTTCCATTTAATCACCTCTTAACTAAACCCCATCGATAAAAGACTCAATGGAACATGATGCTTGTCGCTGTCATACTGATCACTCTGCTTGTATGCTCTAGCCCTTTCCCCCGTCCTTTGGCTTGTTTGTTTATTTAAATTGTAAGCTCTTCAGAAAGGATACAAAGGAAACCAGTCAGTCAGTTATGTTTTCTTTCCAAACGTTATAAAAATGGATGTACTGTGAAGGGACACTGAACTAGAGTGGCCAAAAACTGCCTCATATTGAAAAACATCCCATACTAAGGGTACGTCTACACTACCCGCTGGATCGGCGGGTAGTGATTGATCTATCGGGGATCGATTCATCGCGTCGACGTGATAAATCGATCCCAAATCGCTCTGCTGTCGACTCCTGTACTCCACCGCGGCGAGAGGTAGAAGCGGAGTCGACGGGGGAGCAGCGGCAGTCGACACCGCGCCGTGAGGACGCGAGGTAAGTCAACCTAAGATACGTCAACTACGTTATTCTCGTAGCTGAAGTTGCGTATCTTAGGTTGATCCCCTCCCCTCCACCCCAGAGTAGACCAGAGTAAGCGGCTAACAGATACTAGTTATCCTATCTGATGATTAGCCAGATTTTAACTCCAGTTGCCAGATGGCATGCAGTAAAGTTTTCACTGGAATATTTAATCACGCTAATAAGATTTCATGATATATACACAAGTATAATAGCAAACAGTTGAGCGATAAACCGGGTTTGAATGGTAAAAAAGGAGGGGCTGGTTGAAAGTTTTCTAATTTCACAATGTCAACAAAGAGTCAGTTTTCACCCTGCTTTTTGACCAGGTAGATTTAGTCAAAAAACATTTTGACAAAAAGGAAACAATTACATGAAAAATATTTTCAAAATCTATTTTTTTTTTTAGTAGCTCTAGTAGAGAGTAGACTTTGAAATTCCCTCCAATTCAATTTCATGAATGAAGTTCACATTTCAGTATAAACCACTTCAAGGTTCTTCACAACAAGCCCTAGAACTCTTAGAAATAGACGAAATTGGATTAAAACCTATGTAAATCCTACAGATATTTCCATACTGCTAAGTGCAATTACCTCACTGACTAATTTGCAATGTGTTCGTGCCTAAGCAGCATGACCCAAATGCCCCGAAGTAAAAAAGAGGGACAAAATAAAATGTCAGCATCAACAGAATCATTACATTTGTTAATGCCACTGCTCCAAATCTGAAATTCATCTGTTAAAATACCACACTGTTACCTACCTTTGCCTTTGTGATCTCTGTATCCATTGGATGCTTTGCTTTAAAGATGTTCTGCATTTCTTGCTGAGGACTGTGAGAAACATACAAGTTAGTATCATGCTATAAAAACATATAACACAAGAGCATAGCTGGTAGAGTGCTGAAGTTCAACAGTAGTATTTACTTATATTGAAGTGGCTCTCACAAGCCTCAATCGGAAATGAAGCACCACTAAGCTAGGTATTATTCAACATAGCCCTTTCACTGAGAAATTTACAATCTGGGTTCAAATCTTACTTGCTCAGTTGTTTCCAACGCTGGAAGAAGTCTTGAGAGGCCATCTCCGTAGGTTGGAAAAATTTGTTCAGTGTGATTGGTAGTTTTACTGAAATATTTTGAAATGTTCCCCCATATCTGCATGAAGAACAAAGAGAAAATGTGGTACAAGTTATGATGAATTACAGACTGTATTTCAGAACCTATTTAAGAAAAAAAGTGAAACACTGAAAGATACTGTGACGCTGGTAAACCAAGTGCCAGCTCTGGCCAAGGCCATGGGCGTTAGCTAAGAACTGACAAACTCATAGCTGGAAACCAAAGCATTTCTCCTATATGTTAGTTTTGTTCAAAACAAGTATTAGTCTTATGTATACAGTAAAGAATGTATTTACTGCTTCGAAGCTATGAAATGATTGTAAATTGCTGTATGCATTAATCTCACTTGTAATGTCTGTATTCCATGCTGCAAGGTAAAACGCAAGTGTTTTATAATTATAAAAATGCCTGCTTTGAACGTGTGAATTCAGATGGGAATAGTGGCTCCCACTGCCCACCCAGAAGGGCTATCAAAAATTAAGTGGGCCATCACAGAACAAAAGCTTTGTTAACTGCCTCATCCACCCATCGACAAGTATGTGCAAAAGGCCTCCGCCCACGGATTTGAATGTTGGAAGAGGTAAATAAAAACAGATGACATGAAAATTTTTTATCTTTGCTGTTTGGACTCTCACAAGGGCTGGAGCTACGAAACAAAAAACAGAGATCCCCAGGGTCAACCTGGGTTCAGCCCTAAAGACATTAAATGTTGAAACTCATTTGTGTTTCCATGCTTGCTTGTTTTAACCTGTAAATAAATCATTTCTTTTTCCTACTTAATAAACCTTTAGTTAATTACAGGATTGGCTGCAGGTGTTGTCTTTGGCATGAGGTCTAAGGTAAAAATGGATCTGGGGAAAGTGAAAGGGACTGGAAGCAACCTGAATATTTTGTGATGAATGGTATAAATGACTATTTATCACTAAGACCAGCTTGCCAGTGTGGCAAGAGACTGGAGAGCCCAAGGGGACTGTCTGTGACTCTATGGTAGAACTGTTACAGTGATCTAGGAGTTGACATTTGTTACTGAGTTGGCGAAATCGAATTATAGAACATACCACCATTTTGGGGTGTCTGCCCTGCTTTTGACAGTCTGCCCTGAGGTCGGCATTCTCAGTTGTGAGCCACTCCAGATAGCATAAATTATATTGCCTTATCAAAGGGCCATTCACTATTTCACAGAGAATACAAAGAATTCTGAAGTAAATATACTTTAGACTCAGACTATTGATTATAAACTCTTTTTCGGAGAGGCAATAATATGTGGGAGAAAAGACAAGCATTTGTACTTATGATGCGGACAGAGAACTACTTAATGTTTTTAGGGAAGTAAAAACTGATAAGAACTGTGTCATCATGGGGGACTTTAACTTCCCAGATATAGATTGGGGAACAAATGCTAGTAACAATAATAGGGCTCAGATGTTCCTAGACGTGCTAGCAGATGAATTCCTTCATCAAGTAGTAACTGAACCGACGAGGGGGGATGCCATTTTTGATTTAGTGCTGGTGAGTAGTGAGGACCTCGTTGAGGAAATGGTTGTAGGGGACAACCTTGGCTCGAGTGACCATGAGCTAATTCGGTTTAAACTAAATGGAAGGATTAACAGAAATAATACTGTGACTAAGGTTTACGATTTCAAAAAGGCCAACTTTAATAAATTAAGGCAACTACTTAGGGAAGTGGATTGGGCTAACATACTTAGGGATCTAAAGGCAGATGACGCCTGGGATTATTTCAAGCTGAAGTTGCACGAGCTGTCCGAGGCCTGTATCCCGAGAAAGGGAAAACGGCTAGTGGGCAGGAGATTTAGACCTAGCTGGATGAGCGGGCGTCTCAAAGGGGCGATTAAGAAAAAACAGAAAGCGTACAGAGAATGGAAGAAGGGAGGGATCAGCAAGGAAACCTACCTTATTGAGGTTAGAGCATGTAGGGATGCGGTGAGAAAGGCCAAAAGCCGTGTAGAGTTGGACCTCGCGAGGGGAATTAAATCCAATAGTAAGAGGTTTTATAGCCATATAAATAGGAAGAAAACAAAGAAAGAGGAAGTGGGACCGCTGAAGAATGTAGATGGAGTGGAAATTAAGAATAATCTAGGCATGGCACAATATCTAAATGAATATTTTGCATCGGTCTTTAATAAGGCTAATGAAGGGTTTAGGAATAGAGGGAGTAGGACAGAGGGGAATAAAGGAGGGGGGATTGACATTACAATATCAGAGGTGGAAGCCAAACTTGACCAGCCAAACGGGACTAAATCGGCCGGACCGGATGATCTTCATCCTAGAATATTGAAGGAACTGGCGCGAGAAATTGCAAGCCCCTTGGCGATAATTTTAAATGAATCTGTAAACTCGGGGGTGGTACCGTTGGACTGGAGAATAGCTAATGTGGTTCCTATTTTCATGAAGGGGGAAAAAAGTGACCCGGGTAACTACAGGCCTGTTAGTTTAACTTCTGTAGTATGCAAGGTCTTGGAAAAAATTTTGAAGGAGAAAGTAGTTAAGGACCTTGAGGTGAATGGCAATTGGGACAAATTACAACATGGGTTTACGAAAGGCAGGTCGTGCCAAACCAACCTGATCTCCTTCTTTGAGAAAGTAACAGACCTTCTAGATAAAGGAAATGCGGTGGATCTAATATACCTCGATTTTAGTAAAGCGTTTGATACGGTACCGCATGAGGAATTATTGGTTAAATTGGAAAAGATGGGGATCGATAGGAAAATCCAGAGGTGGATAAGGAACTGGTTAAAGGGGAGACTGCAGCGGGTAGTACTGAAAGGTGAACTGTCAGATTGGAGGGAGGTCACCAGTGGGGTTCCTCAAGGTTCGGTTTTGGGTCCGATTTTATTTAATCTATTCATTACTGACCTTGGAACCGAATGTAGAAGTGGGCTGATAAAGTTTGCAGATGACACAAAGTTGGGAGGTATTGCCAATTCGGAGAAGGATCGGGATATTCTGCAGGGAGACTTGGATGACCTTGTAAATTGGAGTAATAATAATAGGATGAGATTTAATAGTGAGAAGTGTAAGGTGATGCATTTAGGGATGATTAACAAGAATTTCAGTTATAAGCTAGGGACGCATAGGCTGGAAGTGACGGAGGAGGACAAGGACCTCGGAGTCCTGGTTGATCGCAGGATGACTATGAGTCGGCAATGCGACGTGGCTGTGAAAAAAGTTAATGCGATCTTGGGATGCATAAGGCGAGGTATTTCTAGTAGGGACAAGGAGGTGCTGCTGCCGTTATACAAGGCGCTGGTGAGACCTCACTTGGAGTACTGTGTGCAGTTCTGGTCTCCTATGTTTAAAAAGGATGAATTCAAACTGGAACGGGTACAGAGAAGGGCCACTAGGATGATCCGAGGAATGGAAAACCTTTCCTATGAAAGGAGACTCGAGGAGCTTGGTTTGTTTAGCCTAACCAAAAGAAGGCTGAGGGGGGATATGATTGCTCTCTTTAAATATATCAAAGGGATAAATACCAGGGAGGGGGAGGAATTATTTCAGCTCAGTACTAATGTGGACATGAGAACGAATGGATATAAACTGGCCGTGGGGAAATTTAGGCTTGAAATTAGACGAAGGTTTCTAACCGTCAGAGGGGTGAAATTTTGGAACAGCCTTCCGAGGGAAACGGTGGGGGCGAAAGACCTCTCTGGCTTCAAGATTAGGCTAGATAAGTTTATGGAGGGAATGGTTTGATGGGATAACGTGATTTTAGTCAATTAGGCAATAACGGCCATCGCTGGTAAAATGAGGGTCTGGCTAGAGAATCTTGCCTGTATGCTCGGGGTTCTACTGATCGCCATATTTGGGGTCGGGAAGGAATTTTCCTCCAGGGTAGATTGGCAGAGGCCCTGGAGGTTTTTCGCCTTCCTCCGCAGCATAGGGCAGGGGTCGCAAGCTGGAAGATTCTCTGCAACTTGAAGTCTTTAGATCACGATCTGGAGACTTCAACAGCAGAGTTAAGGGAAAGTGGGGGGGTCAGCTTTTGTGGCCTGCATCATGCGGGAGGTCAGACTAGATGACCATATTGGTCCCTTCTGACCTTAAAGTCTATGAGTCTATGAGTCTATGAGAAAAGAAGTTTAGGAATAACTCATTTTAGATGCATATGAAGGCAGAAATAGTTAAATGCATCAACACCTCAATAAGAATTCCATGAATCTGAACTGGAGTATAAGTTCACATTTAGAGTGCTGACATTATAGATAATGCCAACCAAATAAACGTTGAGAATGGACTCACAACTGCAGCCTCCCATGTGTTAAGGCCAACTGTAATGGGGAAAAAGCAAAGTAAACAGCAGTAGTAGTATCTGTTACTGCTTATTTTAAAACCGTGGCTTTCTACATGTAAAAATGTTAATTTTCATCCACAGCAACAGAATGAATAAAACAATAGCAAACCTGTATAAAAATAATCAATAGGTAAATCATTAATCAGGTTTACACTTTAGAGGAAACATGCATATAGACATTCCAAAAGGTACAATCTCACTATAAACTACAAGAAGGTGAACAGATTTATTTTGATGGAAATAAATAAACCAATGCAAAATACCACCATTTTAGATCAACACAATGCAAAGTTAGCGTCTCGCCTTTATAAGGCTGATAATCTTAATGTTTAAATTACTAAGTAGGCATGACTGAACAATGTCTATTCTTTATTTGGACAATTTGCCTAAAACAGCCATCTAAACATTGTTACCATGTGCATTTCTTTTCTAGGCATCTTTAAAATTCTTCTTAAATACTAAAAACTGTGAATAGGATATATTGCCTAAGAAAATTTCACAGCATTCAAGATGTGAAAGGCCACAGGTTTAAATCTCCCCCCTCTCCCCCCAACAGTTCTGATGATAAAAGTTTTTGTTCTTTGTATTTTTTAAACAGACGCTCTAAGAAATGTGGAAAGCCTGAGTCAAAATACTCACCTATAATATGCCTTCTTGCTTTGATATTGGCTTATATGAAGATTACACAGTTAGGTGAGGAGAGACTCCTACACCCTCCTTTATTAAGCAACTCCTCACAGCCAGCATCTCAATTAATTAACTGCATACAGTCATTTCAGGGTAACTCTTAAACTGACACTCAGGTTAATCAAGTTTAACACACACTCATTTATATTAAGAACCATCACCTTGGATAAGTCAAGGAATTATTAAAACTGAATTTACTTTACAGTTCATGTTGCCTGTTCACCGTTTTGCATTTCACTCAGCTTGGACCCTGAAAAATAGTAGATAGCTTCTACTAAGTTTCACTTTTAGATTTTCATTGGAATATCCTGGGAGCATACGTATTGGCTGTAAGCACTGTAGAAAACTAATTAAAAAAATTCCATTGCATCATGAAAATGTTTCTGGACAACAAGTTAACCTACAACTTTCATGTAGGGAAACTTCCTTTTTGTATTGCATAGCAATCTGGAGTTCAACCTTATTGAATAAAATGGAAAGATAAGTGAGAACTATGGTCACCTGTTCAGTTAGAGTTTACCTACCATGTTGTTCCAAAGAATGACTATTTGAGTTGAATACAGTATTGTTGTAGCTGTGTTGGTCCCACGATATTAGAGAGACAAGGTGGGTGAGGTAATATATTTTATTGGACCGATGTCTGTTGGTGAAAGAGACCAGGGCCGGCTCCAGGGTTTTGGCCGCCCCAAGCAGCCAAAACAAAAAAACAAAAAAACAAAACAAAAAAAGCCGCAATCGCGATCTGCGGCGGCAATTCGGCGGGAGGTCCTTCGCTCCCAGGCGGAGTGAGGGACTATCCACCGAATTGCTGCCGAATACCTGGACGTGCTGCCCCTCTCCGGAGCGGCTGCCCCAAGCACCTGCTTGACAAGCTGGTGCCTGGAGCCAGCCCTGAAAGAGACAAGGTTTTGAGCTACACAGAGCTCTTTTTCAGTTCTGGGAAAGGTACTCAGAGGATATGTCTACACTGGAATTAAAAAGCCATGGTTAGCCTGTGTCATTTGACTCGGACTAAGGAGCGGTTTAATTGCAGTGTAAACATTCAGGCTCAGGCTTGAGCCTAGTTCTGGGACCCTGTGAGATCCCTGGAGTAGATTCGTGGGGGATGAGGTTGTAGAGTTTCTTTTGGAGTTGTTTAGGGAAGGATTATATGATATCCTTACATTCCTGGGTGAATTGTGGTGTGGGGTCTTCAAGTTCTTTGTCGTAGGTGGTGTCGGAGAGTTGTTCATTGGTCTCGCTGACATAGTTATCACGGTTGAGAAGTATGATGGGACCCCTTTGTCTTGGGGTTGGTTTTCAGGGACTGTATTGCTGTCCTATTGGTGGTGGAGTGATTGTGATGGATGTGATTTTTGTTAAGGATTTCACAGTCATTTTTTTTCCAGAAGCAATCAATGTAACGATCAAGTGTGTGGACCACACACTGAAAGAAATCTCTTCCAAACCCACTTTTCTGGCCTTCAAAACAAATTTTCCATCCTCACCAAGCTCATTATCAGTAGCAAGTTCCCCCCAGACCAGGACTCATGAACTCAAAGTGGCACCCCACCCTGCCATAACAGATGCAAAACCTGCAGACATATCCATATCTCCACTGCTACGATGATCAATACCCCCTTCCCCCCCCCCAAACACACCTTTCAAAATCCTTGGGTCCTACAGAAACCTATCACAACATGTGGTATACTTTATCCAGTGCATAATGTGCCCTAATAACAATGATGTGGGTGAAACCAGACAATCTCTATGCTCTCAAATAACCCCTCTCAGAAAAAATGATAAAAGACAAACACTATCACCTGTGGGCAAACACGTCTCACAAAATGATCTTTCCATATCTACCCCCTCAGTCCTTGTCCTCCGAGGAAACTTGTGCAGTACCTTTAAAGATTCACGGCTTTTTACAACAATCTGTAACCCACTAACCCTTCTTTTTTGGAGAGGCCTTAGCAGGCCACTTCATGTTGAATGGTCTCTGAGTATGTGTTAACTATTTATGCTAAACAGTCTCTTCAACTTTGTATTTAGTTGTGACACTGAGTGCCTTTTCCAGACCTGAAAAAGAGTTTTGTGTAGCTCAAAAGCTTGTCTTTCACCCACAGCTGATGATCCAATAAAAGGTATCACATCTCCCACCTTGTCTCTCTAAATTGAAGGCCTTTAGCAACTTGTTAGAACAAGCCCTCAGGCAATTGCTCTGTCCAGAGTACCTTTTAATTCTTCTGTGCTTCCAATGCATTTTCAGATTCAGAAGTCTAAGCCAAAGTCCATGTCTATGCTAAGCTTTGCTTCAACACCAAACAAAAACAAAAAACACCTTTTACCTGAATTGAATGTTTAGGATTGGAGCTTCCATGAAGTCTGATATGCACTCAATATTCACAACTTGCTGCACCTGAGCGCCCCCATCCACTGTCGGGTCCACTGGTTTTGTTTGCAGGTTCAGGCGTGAGAGGTTGTTAAGGAAACCAATTCACAGAAAAAAAAAAATGATTGTGCTTTTAATCATTACCATTGACTTTAAATATAGATTTACATCTTCATATGGATAAATTGGCCACTGGGGGGAGGGGGAGGAAACCAACTTTCACCAGTAAGTTAAATGTCCCTGTGAAACACAATATTAACTAGATGTTATGTGGATAATTTTTCAAGCACCATACCAATATACAGATTCAAGGTAGTAAGAGACAATTTTTGCTAGTAACCCTTGCAGTATTAAACACTGTATTGAGTGCATGCAATGTATGCAAACATAAGATGTCCAAACAAGTCTTATATGCTGTAGATGGTAATTCTGAACTGCTAGTGATATTCAATTTTACTCACATTTTGTATCCATCAATCCCTACAGATCTTAATATATTGAGTAATTTGTAGTTGTAGATTCTGTCAAATGCTTTTTGGAAGTCAATAAAACACAACTATACTGTGTCCCCCATTTCAAATGATCTTTCTAATATGAGATTAAAGTTCATAATGGTGTTCATCATGCCCTTTCCATGTTTGAAGCAGTATTGTTGGTCATTTCTTTCCTTATCTATCTTTCCTTGTATTAGGTCTTGAACAACTCACAAAAATATTTAGAAATAGAACTACACAGCACACTTAGCCCAGGCTCTGACACAGGTTTGATGCCAAGCTCCCCTTCCATCCACACACAAATCACTTTGACTTGGGTCAGCAAGGACTCAGGAGCCAGGACCTAGGACTCTGCTAGGTGGGCGGATCAGAGCCTGAACCCCACTGTGACTCAGGTTCAAACCCTGTCATTTTGCAGCATGGATGCAAGACCCAGATCAAGCAATTTTAAGCCCAGGTTTACAATACAGTGTAGATGCTCAAGTGCAGGCTTGGAAACACCACGTTCACAAGCCCGGGGCCCAAAGACCCGATTTACATTGCAGTGTAGACATACCCTCAGGGTATATAGCATCTGTATACTCAGACTCACTGCCATGGGTTTTGTTTTTTCTTTTCTCCCCAGTGTAGACATACCTTAGAGGCATGCAATTGTTCTGTAGTCTTTTCAATTCATAGCACTGGTCTTTTTTTCAGTTTGGATATGTAAGGTTCTGAAGTATTCTGGCAATTCTCCTGTCTTAAATATATTCTTCATTACCTCTGACTGGGCTTTTAAGTCTTCATCCACTATACTTTAACAATTCAGCCAGTATTCCATCGCAACCTAGTGCTTTTCCATTCGGAAGTCTTTTTATTGATGCCAAGATTTCTTCATCCATTATTGATGGACTTAATTAATCTCTAGCTAAGCTTTTTCAGGCCTATCATCACCATATAGTTCCTTGATACATTCTCACCGTCTCTCGTTCTTGTCTTTAGGGTCTGTCAAATATCGTCCATTTTTGTCCTTTACAGTGGTATTGGTCACCTTTTTTCTTTAATTGAAGATTCTTATCTTTTGATACAGCTCATGTTATTCTCTTTATCCAACTGTCCAATTTCTTTGCATTTCTCATACAGCTATTCAGTCTTTACTAATATGCATTTATTCTTTATTTTATTTATTCGTTTTTACTAATATGACTCTACTAATGCACAGTACTCGTCACCTGCCTGAAAAATTTTCAACAAAGAACTAAAATTTGTACCATATTGTCTTTCTATATGAGAGGAAAGGCAGACTCATAAGTACGTTATGAAGCTTTTATCCAACAAAATTTAAATTTTATTTTGTAATATATTTGCTGGGACTAATGTTAATACCATGGACTTGTTTCAATTTATTCTAAAGTTTGAGATGTCTCTGATTTCCCTATTGCTTTCACAACACATGGCACTAAGAGGACCAGCAATCATTTAAAAGAAAAGTCTTAATTTTTGTTTTATTTGTTGCCCCTCCCCTTCATTACCACAAAGGCTCACAAGAACAATGGAAACTTATTGTTTCACCATAGTCAATTAACCTTATAGTGATGTCAAGGGTGCAAAGTAATTTGAAAAAGACACTCTCCATATAATCTTTCAGTTTAGTTATTTTAGGCATTACTTGTAATAGTGGTAGGTCATTAAGACGCAAGTACAATTTCAGTGTTATGTTAATGTTTGTAAAATACTATATAGTACATGCACTAGGCCTTATCAGCTAAACTCTATAGTTAAAATCCCATTAATTTTTTTAAAGGATTTATGAACTGTTCCACTGAGACCACTTATGCTTGTGGATACAATGAAAGTTACCACTAGGTCTACACTACAGCGGGGGTCCGACCTAAGATACGCAACTTCAGCTACGTGAATACCGTAGCTGAAGTTGCGTATTTTAGGTCGGCTTACCTGGCGGTGAGGACGGGGGAAAGTCGACCGCTGCCGCCGACTCCGCTGCCGCCTCTTGCCGCGGTGGATTTCCGGAGTCGATGGCAGAGCGATCAGGGATCGATTTTATCGCGTCTTCACTAGACGCGATAAGTCGATCCCAGAAAACCGATTGCCTGCCGCCGGACCCTCCGGTAAGTGTAGACAAGCCCTTAGAAAAGCTAGACCAAGCAAAACAAATATTTTCAATTCATGGGGAAAGCAAGGAAGGAGTCAGGAAGTTAATCTAACCATTTCTGAACAAGGAAGAGGTTTAATCACAACCACATTTTTGAAGAGTTTGCCTGCCAAAAATATATATTTTAGCATCAAGATCTTTAGTTAGTAACCAAAGGCTTAACTACATTTCTTGTAGCTTCCAAGTTGACTTCAGCAAACTAACCAAGCAATGTTGTGATTTAGTAAATTGATTACTTTACCACATGCTATATTAATGGAATTTTTAATAAAGCGTCCTTATTTTCTTTGATACTATCAAGTATATTCAAAATCCATAGCTAGACTTTTACTAACTGCTTAAAAGTGATTGTTTTGGTAGTGCAACAAATATTTTAAAGTGCAGTGAATAATCTCTCCACATTAGCTTGCATAGCTGAAAAGTTCTCATTTAGTTTACATTTGTCTAATTTGACTTATTCCCTTTTAACTCGCAGTGTATTTTGTGATTAAATTTTAATTAACTCTCTTGGTACCAAAGAATTAAAACCATTTCAACTTTAGTACCAGCAGAGAGACCTAAACTAAACTTGGCAATAGATAATAGCTCTGTGGTAAATTAATCAAATACCTGATTTTAATATGCTCCCTTTTTTCTCCTGGAAGCTGGTGCTTTGCAACTTTGCCCATACAATACCATGTATCTTGTCAAAAGTGTATTAGGTAACGTCTCACAACAATAAGATATGCCTATACAAATCCTACACAATACTACTATGTGTAGCATTTTTTCTAGAGCCATAGATTTTGCTAAATTAATTTATCTACACTGACACCAAAAGGTTGTATTTTTAAGACAAAGAAGTGACAACTTCCTCATCTTGTGACGTATCAGACCTTGAATCTAGCAGATATTGCATTAGCCAAAGTATTTCTTTATTACTGTTTATTTTTGCATTTGATATATGTAATGATCAGGTGCATACACTACTACTTGCATATGAGGCGGAGCAATTAAATCAAGGATATTTGACTGAAGTTCATCTGAACAGATTAGTGTTGGAGTAAAATTCAAGAACTGAGTGGAAGTCTTGTTACCATAAAATATAAACATCCGACCTGGAAAGAAATAGGTAAAAACATTTAATTATAAAATCCTCAAGTATAGCACATATAACATTAATTAAGTACACTGACTACATTTGGAGCAAGAGTCTAAGGCTGGGTCTATATGTACATCGTTTCAGCAGTGCAGCTGTACACATACAGCTGTCTTGCTGCAGTGCATCTGGTGAAGATGCTCTATGCCGACGGGAGAGAGCTCTCCTGTCAGCATAAAAAACCCCACCTCTGCGAGTGGCAGAAGCTATATTGGTGGGAGGAGCTCCCCCGCCAACATAGAGTTGCATGCACAAGCACTTATGTTGGTGTAATTTATGTCACGGGGGGGTGGAATATTCACACCCCTGAGTGACACAAGTTTTGCTGACATAGACTATGTCTTCGCTACAGCCTAAGACAACTGTTTTCCACCAACACCACAAAAAGGGTTCCTTAAGTAGGTTAGGCCTCAAATCTGATCCACTTTAGATGTTTAGAAAATTTGTCACCAGTAAATTAACAAACTAACCATTTTTAACTAACAAGGTTTATTCCCAATTCTGTGCTGACACTGCTGTTGATACAACAAGGAAGTTAACACCATGTTAACTACCAGATCTATTCAAAACATAAAACTATCGGTCTTACCCAAGTTCTGTCGAAATTCAGATTTCAGTCCAATCTGCAGCAGCTGATTTTCAAACAAAACTCCATTATTTTTACATACAAACCTAGAGAAAGATAGGCACATTTGAAAGGTAAGAGTTTATATTTTAACTGCAAGACAAATTATTACAAAGCAATCAAAGCCACAGAACTTAAAGGTCTTGTGGACAGCATAAAGAAGAGAATTGTGGGCCCAGGTGCCTTGAAGTAGTCAGTAAAAAGGACAGACAACAGAAAAATTGTAAACTTAATGAAATGAGTTTATATTATAGCCCACACCTTCCTCGTAATGTATCATTATTTTAACTATTCAAGTTTATTTCAATGTTATGTTTAAAATGAAAACAGGGAGGAAACCAAGACACACAGACATGCTATATAAGTACCAGGCAACAGATTTTTCAATCCAGCATTAATCTAGTGGATTAATGAACTTCAATTCAGTGTTTCACCTACTAAGCACTTGAACAAAGTGCACTTGCAATACCAATACTCTTGGCTATGCCTACCTAATCCCCAGTTACATTTGTTCTCAACCCCAAATGACTGCAAAATGTGGCATACAACTAACACTGATGAGGAGAGGCCTAGTTTTAGAGCAGCATGTGGTATTGCAGGTGAGCGCTGTGCTGCACTGGCAAAGTTGTGAATGAGTATACAGCATATACAACACAGCATCTATAACCAGCTCTGTGCATTACCAGTCTTACTGCATGTCTAGAAAAAACACTGGCCACTTTGAAAAATAGTGGGTTAATACTCAGTTTAATCCCTTGCTTTGTGATTTTTGATTATTTTGTGATAATGCTCTGGAAGTTGCCCATTTTTGCAAGATTTTAGTATTGCTTACTTGTGAATAAGCTCATCAGCATCATGCACAGTATCAGCTGGTTCCTCAGAAACTACCTCAGATGAAGCCAGGTCAGGGCTAATTCAAGCAGCACAAAGGAAGAAAGGAGGTAGCAATAGAGATGGCAAGAGTTATAAGTTAGTAAAAAAAAAGAGAGCTTAGTCATTTCCTTTATTTCCTCCCTCAGAACAGCACTTTGGGATATGACACACCAAGGCCTACATTTTTGAACTAAGACACCTGGAGTTAGGTACCTAAATTACTTTAGCAATCTAAGCAACTGGATTTTTCAGTCCCCACCTGCAGTCCCCACTGATTTCAATAAGAGTGGAAATGTTCAGCACTTAAAATCATACCACTTTAGGCCTCTAAATCCTTTTTAGACATCTAAGTCCAGGCACCATTGTGCAAAAAATTTGGATTAAGTCCATATTTAAGAACGCCCATTAACTTTCATTAGTCTGCATACGGATGCCAGGTCCTCATTGCCACTAATAGCATTTCTAGTTACACTTCTGCTTTTCTCAAACTCAAAAAAAACTGCACTGCTTGAATGAAAGAACAAGCATTGCCAAAACAATTTAGAACAATTATGCAACAGTAAATATACTGGTAGACTGTCCAGAACATCCCTTAACCAAGTAACAGCTTTCCTCCTTAATCCCACCTTACTACTTATGGAAAAGTGGCAGAGGTTACTGTAGAAGACGCTTAGGTAGTAACTACCTTAGACAAGCACTTTACCAAATGCAATGACTGCAAACAGGGTAGGGGTCAGCAATGCTAGTCATTTTTCTGCAGCAAATGTCCACATATAAAGCATTAATGCTTCACCCCTGCAGATCACTCCTGAACTACTAGCCTAACACTAAAAACAAAGAGAAAGGACAGAGAAGAGGTACAGCAGATGCCAGCTCTAAAACATCATTTAACTTTACTGCCACACACTAAAGGTTACCATGTATGAGCCACTTAAAATTTGTCTTTAATACAATCCACTATCTTGCAAGAATGAAATGTTTTAGGATGAAATTTTTCAACCATAGCAAACTGCAGGCAAGTAGATTGTGCCTGAGCCGGTACTTTCTCCTGGCAATTTTACAGAGCTGTGCTGGAGCACATAGTTATCCCTATACTTAATAGGGCAGCAGGAACACAAAGCATGACGGCTGTATACTGCAACGGCTTAGCTGCCCTTCATTACTTTAAAGACTCGGTCCATAGTAGTATTAAATCTTGTTTAGTAGATGTTATAAGCAGAGGTTTGACACAGTGGGAATTCAAAAAAACAAAACAAAAAAAAAAAACCCTGGTCGACTAGGCAGTCTTAGCTGAAAAACATTTGAATATAGTTAAGTGTTCAATGACAAGAGATTCAGGTTACATATTTGATTTAATATTAGCTCTGCTAACATGCTAGAATTCTGCTAGAAAAAGTTAGCAGGATCCTCTCATGATATTTACACTGACACCCAAGAATTTAATGTCTTGTGAACAGTGCCTGAAAGCATTATATTGAGAACTTCAATATAAATGCTGGTAACAATCAATAAAAGCAGTTACTGATCATTGAATTAAAAAGGTATGCTGGAATGTAGGATAATACGTACTTTTAAATACAAGGGACAAAGTTATTTTTGCTTCTTCACAATGAGGCCATTGACTGTAGTTAGGTCATAAACAATATATAAAAGCCAAATTAAATATGCCTTCAGGTCTGTGACTGGTTTAATGCATTCGGACAGACTATGTTTAATAGCTCTAGGAGATCTGCTGTCACAGAGAGACAAATTAGCAATAACCTACCCACCCCGGCCCAACAACAGTGATTTGTTACATATGCAAGGACACAATCGCTAGAGTCCTGCATGGCATAGGAATAAGAAAGGAATTCTATTCGATTTAGGCTAGATAATCCAAAATGTGAAATAACAGTTCACTACTACAAACTAATACATTAATACCTACTGCCTGATATTGAAATGCATGGAAGAACAGCTTACCTTATGCACCTAAAACTGAAAGCAATAAAATAGAAATCGTTTATGGCCAGGCCCAAAGTTATCCACTAACCTTATCATTGCATTTAAGTCTTACTGTACTCAATATAATCTGGATATTAAGCATAAAATAACACGCTTTAGGCTTGCCCTTAGGTGATTATATCAGTATATGAATTCCCTTCACATGACATTAAGTAGGACTGACAAAGCTATGTTGTTCTTCAGTGGGGAAGTTTCAGCTGTTTGTACTCTTCATAAGGGTAGGGTAAAAAAGGTGGAAGATAAGAGGCACCACCTACTTCCAACTCAGGTGAGAATTATTTTAACTACCTTGCAAAATTATCTTCAGAGCCAGGAGCAAGAGGTGCAACCACAGAAGCAGAGTCTGAAAATACATCCACCAGCAAACTGCCAGTAGAGGAAGGGGGAGGAGCAGAGCTGGTGAGAGGAGCTGCACCGAGGCCCAGAAGGTCTGCTGATGGAGAAGGAGTAGACTGTAGAAGATAAAATGGAACACTTTAAAGTTGCATTTAATTCATATATACTAATACAAAGCCCAAACACAACTGTACCTCATCCCCAATAAAGACTGGCTCAGATTTTTAAAATAGTTTTGTCTGTAGGAAATAAAGACATCTTCCACATGTGGCTATCACCTTGCCCTTTAAATGGCCTCAGACAGGTAGTTTCATAGCCAAAAAACTACTAGTTTCCCATAACTAGATTTTACCTTCCCATAAAACCAGTTGTAAACCAGATATCAAGAAGAACTAGGGTGCGTTAAGTTATCTCCCTCCTTCACCTTTGAACATTAAAAGCAGTACAGGTTAATCTGTACTATTTTGCAAACTCCAACTTTACACAACTCTAATCCAAAATACTTTTGTGTCTCAACATGACAGACTATTGTGTAAACCTACATTTTAGGACATTTTGACAAACCCAGATGCCTAAAACTGATGTTTTCCTGAATATTAAAAACCCTTTCCTTTTAACAAAATATAGCTTTTTGTTCATATACCTGAATGTTAAGTTCTGAAGCCATGCACACACTCAAAAGAGAAGTATTGAGACTAATAAGCCAGAAACCAGAGTGCTCCTAAATTAAAGTTGGTTAAGAAAGGAAATAAAATCTAGTACAAGATTTCCCAAAACAAGCAGAGCACCAAAACTTAAGTTGCAAAGGAAGTAAAATGAAAGAGGAGTTCCAGTGGATGGAGAATCTGGCATTAAAAGTTTGAGGAACTTTTATTTCTTGGACTGTTGGTTGGGAATTTTCCCTCTTCCTCAAAGGGAAGGAGATCGAGGGAAAGGTAGTTAACTCTCTCTCCTAGAAAAGCAAGATATTAATAAGTGGACATATAGGGACAATTTACTTATATAAACTCCCAGTCACAATGTGTACAGGTGTGCAAGTTGTGATTCTATAGTGATGATTATAATGAAAGTTAAATTGGGGCCTTATTACACTTATTTGGAAAGGAAATATTTTCCTTTTTGTAGAACTTTACAAGATGTGCTAAACAGAACTAGATTTATTTATTTTTCTAAAGTTTTAAGTGATTCCACTGTAAAGTTCAAAAAAGCCACAAGCATTTAAAAGTGACCATTTTTAAAATCGGTGATGGTTATTTGGGACAGATTCTCTGGTTCACAAAGCAAACCTGAAGCAGCTAAAGCTCTGCATTGAGATTTCCCTCTACACTGGCAGCTCCACCACCTTTGTGCTGGAACCATACCCCTTTCTGCATAATGGGAGGTACGGTGGATGTCAAGGGTGCGGCATGGGAGATGGCATGGTTGAACAAGGCACCACTGTACCCAATTCTACATTGGAATAAGATCCTTGGTCTTTCACCAGCAGCATAAGTCTATGCTGCCCCCTGCAGGTTTAATTTATGTTGGGGCTTGGCAGCTGAGAATCAGCAAGCTAGGACTGACTTGCTGTCAGTCTCCTAAGCAGAGCCTGGGTGCAGTGGAGAATCAAACCAACAACTTCTCTTTGGGTCCATCTAGTTTAATACAATTAAAAACTTCAACCTTACCACATATATACAGTATTGACAACACTTCTCATACCCTTCATCACCACTGATGGTCAACATTTTCAGCAGTGAACCGTGATTTTGGGTGCCCAAGTTGAGACACCTTAAAGGTCAGTTTGAGTGTGGCTCTCATTTTGAGAATTATGTTAGGACAAGCATCTTACGTTGGGTACCACCCCTCAAAAATATATTTAAAAAAAATCAAGGCCAATATATATCTGTGGTCACAAGAGGTCTTCTAAATCCACTTTGAAAAGCTAATTTGTTGAAGAAGTGTGCTGCAAATTAAACTCCCATTATACGTAAAGACAAAGTTAGGGGAAAATTTCCATGTTATTGCTTCACTTTAAAGACTAAAAAAACCCCCACCATGTTAAAATTTGAAGGGAATTAACATGATCAACAGAAAAATGAATATCAATGCTATGCTAAAGACACACACGCAAAGCATTTATTGGCTTGAGTTAAATGTTTATTACTTCCCTTACCCAGGGAAGAAAAGCAGCATGTGACTGTAAATTAGTATTAGGTATATACTAATGGGAAAAAAAAAATAAAGACAAGAGAGTAAGATCCTGCCTTACTGGGAATTCTGAAATATCCAAATGCACTTATGTCAAAAGGAAATTGCAATTACCAAACAATAGAGGTAGCCTAGCAACGCCAAGGTTTTAAACTATTGTGCAAATTTCACCCTGCAAGAGAACAGAAGGTCTTGAATGGGATGGACTGTAGTTTGGTGACATTTCTAGTATTTGCAGAGTAGCTATGAGGGAAACCCAGGAAAGTATAGCGACATCTATCAGATAATGGAGAGCAGGGGAACATGAGAAATTACAGCAACAGGAGGATTTAGAAACAATTCACTATAGTAAGTATCTGATTATTCATGAAAAGTTTGAATTTCTTAGTTGACTGTATATCAGTGTTTAAGACAACTGGATATTTAAACTGAAATTTGCATGCATGTTAATAATTCACTCCCAAACCACTTCCCAAAGTAGCGCAGGCCTTGTCATGAATAACTGCAAGCATCAAAAAGCAAAAAGTTTTAAGACTTCATGCCTGCAACAGGACTAATTAAGAGACCTCAGAAGTGAAGAATCCTTTAAACAAACAAGGAACTCCTGTCTGAAGGTTGTGGATGGCTAAACGAGAAGAATTCAGACGAGAAGGGCGAGGTCTGGGCCCAGTAACTAGTTCAGCCAGTGAGCCCTGAAGTGGAGAATCAGGCAAGGCCTTCAACAGTATGCAGAAAAAAAATGGAATAAAAAAATCAAGTAATCAGCAACAAAACCAAGAATTGTGTGTGCTCCACTATTCACATGTGCTTAACCTATGCATCCAAATATCAGAACTGCAGGAGCAGATTTGGTATTACACACTTAAGTTAAAACAATGAGGAGTCTGGTGGCACCTTAAAGACTAACAGATTTATTTGAGCATAAGGTTTCATGGGTAAAAAACCCCAATTCTTCAGATCCATGGAGTGAAATTACAGATACAGGCATAGATATACTGGCACATCTATGCCTGTATCTGTAATTTTCACTCATTGGATCTGAAGAATTGGGGTTTTTTACCCACGAAAGCTTATCCCCAAATAAATCTGCTAGTCTTTAAGGTGCCACCAGACTCCTCGTTGTTTTTGTGGATACAGACTAACACGGCTACCCCTCTGATACTTCACACTTAAGTTAGGTGCAGACGCTTATTTATGTCTAAACTAGAATCACACCAAAAGTGTTTCAGAAGATAACAGGTTCCGCCTCAGTCTATATTTCTATGCAATAAGAAATAAGTGAAGCTCTTCTATGGGTAGAGCGGTATAAACTGAAGTTAGTATATTAGAAAGATATTGTTTGGAACCTCTCCCTACCATGCACTCCTCCCTAACAATTCAGTATGAAACACTGCATGGTGGAAGAAACAGTATGCAAGAAGGTTGGCTTAATATCCATTCAGAAGAAAATGGAGGACATCATCATCTTGGGATGGAAGACTTGGATCACTAACTTTCAAATATAGTGGAGTTGTACCATTCACTATGAGAGTTCAATAGGGAAAGCATAGTATCTTCACTAAGTCTAAAAGGAGAAGCGATTAAAAAGATGGGCACAGAATGTGTTACAAGACTAAGAATAGACTGTTAAAAAGCTTAGAAAATTAATCCTAATAGTTACAAATTTTGGTTTTGCTTTTAGTCAAAAGAGATAATGAATCTCATCTTAGTTAGTCGAGTAGACAGCGCTCCATCACAAAACCACCTTGCAATTCAGCATAATTGGTAGATACAGATCAGGAAAAGCCCAGGATTGATGTTGTTTAAACTTAAAATGTGCACCAATTTAATTCAAGTTATGACTTTATATAAATGAATATAAGTAAGGGTTAAATCAGTTTAAAGTACATCCACGTTAGATTACATTAAGTACAAAAAAGTCCAGCAGTGTCCTGAATGCTTTGAAACAGAAAAATAAACCGGTAAAAGTCAGTCTGTACTAGAGAAAATTAGAACACCTAGCTTAAAATGTTTCACAGAAGTACATTACAGATAATTAGCCTCTAAGAGTGTTAATGAAGTTGATTATTCAAACACACTTTGTCCAAAATTTATCCCACGAATGAGAAAATGTCAACCTTTTCTTTTCAAAATGTTACTTTGAAACTGTTAAAATATGTTTAACTATACACAGATTATCAAAAGCACACAGTCTTGGGTCTAATTTGGCCCCCCACAGACTTCAACTTCTGCAAATTCTACCCACTACTTCCCTCACCTTTAGAATTAAAATACAGCTTTTCCAGCTACTTTATACAAACATCAGGAGCCTCAAATTTAAGAAACAGTGAATGTACAAAACAAGTCACTGAACAAGCAAAATGTAAGGAATCTCTGCATTTCCCTCCTAGAAAATCACAATAACTGGTATTAGATTGGTTATCACAAGTGGTATAATTACTTAAAGAAACATACCACAGTACTGGCATTAACAGGGGTGGATTCAGTGCCTCCATTCACATCAGAGTTCCTCTCCTTTTTGATCTCTTCTAGGTCAGTAACTGTGCCAGGGCCTTTCTTCTTCTTCAGCTTAGCCAGAATGGATGACTCCCTCTCTGGAAATGGAGGCATTTCTTCTAGCACAGTTGCCTTGCCATGAAATAAGCTAATATTAGTTTTCAATACAACACACGTGTCTTCAGACAGGTAGACACTTGCAAGAAAACAGAACATCATCCCAACCTTTCAAAGGATACACCACTATAGCATTGCTTCTTGTGGCAGAGTACAGAAATCCACCACCTATGCAACAGTCAGCAGCACATTATAGCAGAGCTATAGGTTAAGGTTGAGAGTTGCTTACGGTTTAAAAGAATTAAGTGCTTTAAAGCCATAAGCCGACTGATTTATTTGCTGAGCCTCATGGGGATGCACAGTAGGGTTTGTGATCCAAATTTAGGGTCATTTGAACAAGCGATTCCTGAGATGCAATCCCTTTAAAAAAAACCATCACATTTATAAAATCACCTGGTTTTGATGCTTCCCAAACTGATATCACCCCTTGGGATTTAACTCAGTAGTTCAGAGCACCCATGTGCCTTTGGAGTAGCAGTATTGAGAGTTAATAAGTTTAGAGCTCCAGGTCAAGTTGACCTAAACTGACAAAACAGTGAAATACACACATGCAGCAAGACTAGAGGGTTTGCAGGCTGTCTGTTGTCCCAGTAATTGGGTGGCTCAAGGTGACATGCTATGGATACTGAATCTAAGCAGCACTCATGCACTGTGAGTTCAAGTCCTAATTTGTGGAAGTTTTTGGAGAATCTGTGTTACGTAAGTTTGCAGGCAAAGAACAACTTTTTATGGAGCCTCCTTTTTGAAGTTTTGTTCTGGTTTAAAATATTTTAAAGTGCTCCAAAATCCACATGCCGATTCTGATTTTACTTTAGAAGCAGTCAATGAAATAAGCACTAGTGATATAGAAGATAAAGACTGTGCAGTAAGCATTTGGAGTAATGTAATCATCATGATTTATGCTCCTCAATCCACTGCGATCAAAGGCAAGTCATCACTGGATATTTGCTCAACAGCTTCCTAATACACAGCCACGCTAACATTCAGATTCTTAACTGTTTTGGTGTAGAGCAAGGGAGTATAACGGGGTGGGATGGGGTTGGAGTTGTGAGGTGGAACGTGCAAGGGGTGTCAAAGCAATGCAGGGGCTCTACCCTTTTAACAACCTTCATCCATTAGGGCTGTGCTCTGACATAACTATTGAGGGGCTAGCACACACCAACACAAAAATCCCTTAGGTCACATCTACACTCAAATGCTGCAGTGGCACAGCTGCGCCACTGTAGTGCTCCAGTGTAGACACTTACTACAGAAATGGGAGGGGTTCTCCCATTGCTGTAGGATCAGTGGTTCTCTAACTTATTTGATCACGCCCCCCTTCTTTGTGCCTGTAGCATCTCCCGCCACACAAGTACATATATGGCTGCCCAGCTCTGAAGGCAGAGTGGAGAGTGGTGACTGCTGGCCAGGCGCCCAGTTGTGAAGGCAGCGCCATTGCCAGCCGCAGCACAGAAAAGGGTGGCATGCTATGGCATTGCCACCTTTACTTTTGTGCTGCTGCTGGCAGTGGCGTTGCCTTCAGAGCTGCGTGCCCGGCCAGCAGCCACCGCTCTCCAGTCGCTTCTTTCTGAAGGCTTAGTGGTTTAGCACCCCATACCCCCAAAGAATACATTCCATGCCCCCAGTTTGAGAACTACTTCTGCAGGTAATCCACCTCCCCAAGAGGCAGTCGCTAGGTAACAGAAGAATTCATCTATTGACCTAGCACTGTCTACACCAGGGGTTAGGCTGGCTTAATTGCATCTCTCAGGATGTGGGTTTTTCACACCCCTGAGAGAGGTAGCTATGCTGATGTAACTTTTCAGTGTAGACCACCCCTTAATGTAAGGAATCATCCAAACACTGATTTCTAAACCCAGTTCAATGTCTAGCACTTTGATGAAAAATTGAGTTTCCGAAAATATTTTTACTATAATCCTTCAGCGAAATTCCATGCCTCTAACTGTTGCTCTTTAGGAGCTCAAAAATGTTGACAGAGCAGAAACAAAAGGGGGGGGGGGAAGGAATTTATCTGCCTAAAAACTTTGACACAGCATTAAGGTTGCCTGGCGCTGCCTTGGGCCATTCTGAAAATTAAGAAACACACAGAGTTAAGGTATACACCACCCCTATAAACCAACATTAACTCTGAGTAATGCCTCAACACATACCACCACTTTACCCTTAGAGATGTTACCCAACAGTCTGGGAACAGATCATAAGCACTCCAAGACAAAGTTTAACACCTTCTCTTTGCTGAGGCAAAACTCTGGTTTAGATCAAGCCATAGCAAAACAAGAGCTACCTACACCTCGCCTGCACTCATACAGAGGTCACTCCCCACAAATCGCCCCAGACTTGCTAAATGTTACCACTCCTTCACCTTTGTCATGAGGACATCACAGACATTGCCTTCACTTACATCTCACTTTGTACTGGAGACTTGTATGTCACCAGACTGCTGACAATCCCCATGACAAAACTTCTGTGCATCATTAGTGACACAACCTAAAGATCTCAAATCTGAGAAGAGTCATACTTAACTCCTCAAGATGCATATGCAGCTTTCTTCATCTTAATGTAGCAGCTCTGTCAACCTGCTCCAATTAATCCCTCCACTATTCAAAACAGCTACACCTAACAATGAACACTGCTGGAGTACATGCAGATAAATGCTGCACTTCACATCAGTGGAACATAACACAATGACACTTTAGCATAGCCCCTTCAAGTCTACCTACTATAGCTCCACTCTTAGCAAACCATTCCAATGACTCCTGCCAGATCCAAGGAGCAGAGTTAAAGCTGGGTTGTCAGAGTGGCATGCATCTTAACTCTATTCTATTTCAGAAATTTATATTTGCATTATACCTTATCTGTTCATTTTTTGATTTTCAGAAGTTTGGAATGTAGCAGAACGCGATCGTCTAGAATGGCATAAGACAGTGCTGGGCAACCTTAACTTCATCTTAACAAAGTTCTGGGAAGTCCATTTACTAAGCAACATCCACTAAAACATTTAAGTAGAATCCTGCCCAGACCGAGGACCTAGAATTGTATTTGATAATCAACCACTTGCAAAGACTTTTCCATATTTAACTCTATGTACCTACCAAGATATCAGTACTAGCAATGGTACTGAGCCTCAGGTATTCAACGGCTCTCTGCTGTAGTTCAACATCAGCATTCTTCAGCTGACTATCACTGCGCAGTACATCTTGAATGGTAGTTTTGATTTCTGGAAATAGGTTCACAAACTTGATGTAGGTAGACAGAAGCAGTGCACGGGTGGGGACACTACACAGATGAAACTTGGAGTGCAGCAAGTTGAATTGAATCAGAGGACTTAAGGGAAAAAAATACAGTTTGTTCAGTTTTCCTGATATCATAATACATAAGCATTAATTAATAATAACAGTTCAACACTCAGCTGTATGTGGCCGTAATATTTGAGAGAGCCAGGAGAATTCACTATAATTGTTTATCATGGAATCTTAAAATACTATAAGTGGTCTGTTTTAGAAGGTGTTCTTACCTAGATCTTGGGTCACCAGCTATTAGATTTCCAAATTCTCCCAGGATGTAGCCACCTACTTTTACCAGATTTTCATGGCATGCTGGTGCCTGAAGGGCCTGTAAAAGACCATTCAGTCAAAACCATTGGACAAAGAATTTAATCAAGGATCAATGACCAAAAGAAAGACTGTATTCTTCTACTTTAGACAATATCACTATAGTGATGCTACATTACTCTGCAACTTTTAGGGAAAAGGTCCTCAAGAGTGAACCACAAAACACTTGCACGGGCTTGCAAAGAGCTGCCAGGTCACATTATCTCCTATGAGTAGAAAGTGGAATATGCATATGTAAGCAGTACATACAAAAGAAATAGCAATGGGGCAAGGAAAAGTTACTGACTGGTAATTGTTAGTTTCCTGTTCTCCCATCCTACAACAGTGAATTATAGGATAGTGTTCTATGGTGCTACCTACTGGGAAGAAGGAGCTAAAAAATTGTGAAAGTTCTCATCTGTGAATGAAGGCTTCCCTAGCTAAATGGCCTCTAAAACTCAGGATGAGGCATACCAGCTTACGTGCGACCTCAGACCCACCTAAAAATATTAAATTCATCTGTAACCTTTCCCTTGTTACAGCCTTGAAATAGTTGCTCAGCTTCTTCTGAACTCGAGAACATGCTCAATATCCAAACAAGAGCAGCATTGTGTCATAGGGATAAGGGTGAATATACTAGTTTGTGAAGGGGGAAACCAGTATTCCTCTTTGGAATGAATCCCCAAGGATGCTGAAAATCCATCTTTCTAGAAAGAAAGGTGGGCAAGAAGAAATGGGAAAGTTCAACTACCTCATTTGGACAAGGTCACAGCAATAAGGCAGAACTCAAACAGGACACCCATCAGAACCTGCAGGATGAGAGTCATATCCCATTAAGGTATCACTGAATGCATTAAGGGTCTTTGAGATTGTTCTTGAAATTCAACTATGAAGTCCCAGCATACTGGAGTTAACGAGACAAGGCAGCAGCATCCCTGGTGTCACAGCAAGTGATGAAGATCTTCCAGATCTGAGACTAAGCGTGAGGCAAGCCAAAGCCAAAAGGTGGTTGCCAAAGCCACAGGTCCCAGAAATAACAAGTCTGGAATCTCACGCAATGTCCACTGGGAGTGGGGAGTAACCACTAAGCTCATCAGGTTTAAAATCCAGTAGCAACTGAGTCACTACAGAGCCAGTGAAATCATAACTGCCATTTCAGCATCTCATCTCAACACTCACCAGGAGGTGAGAGTTACAGTATCTGATACAACAGTCTGCACGAAGGGGTGGTGCTCAGCCCCCATGCTGGAAGCTGCCTCAGACTTCATTTCTGTCTTTGTTTATTTTTTCCATAATTTCATGGAGCCCCGACAGGACAGCAAGAATAGAAGGAGACGCAGGAGGAAGACAGCAGGAAAGAATGTGAAGACTCTATGCTTCTAAGCTGAGGAGGCAAAGAAAGCTGCGAGACATCTGTCTGCGGCATATGTAATCTGGGGTGCAAGTTCATGACTGTCGCCTTGCTTCCAAGCAGGCAGCACCCTAATGCTGTGTCCCTTACTCCACTATCATAGAATGGAATAGGTGAGGTACAACAATGAACACAACGTTTTTGAAAACCAAAAAAGCAATTCAAACACATTTCTGTATGGGTGATCTGACTGTATGTAAAAAAGGGATAAGAAGTTGATACCATCTAATACAGAGGTGGGCAAACTACGGCCCGCAGGCCACATCCGGCCTGCGGGACCCTCCTGCCTGGCCCCTGAGCTCTTGGCCCGGGAGGCTAGCCCCTGGCCCCTCCCCTGCTGTTCCTCCCTCCCCCGCAGCCTCAGCGTGCCACGTCGCTGGCGCAATGCTCTGGGCAGCTGGGCAGAGCCCGGCCTGACCTGGTGCTCCGTGGTGTGTGGCTGGCTCCAGCTGGGCGGCACGGCTGTAGCGCCACCAGCCACCGGTGCTCCTGGCAGTGTGGTAAGGGGGCAGGGAGTGGGAGGGGGTTGGATAAAGGGCAGGGGAGTTTGGGGTGATGGTCAGGGGGCGTGGCGGTCAGAGGACAGGAAACAGGGGGGTTGAATGGGGGAAGGGGTCCTGGGGGGCAGGAAGGAGAGGGGGGGGTTGGATGGGGCGGCAGGGGGCAGTCAGGGGCAGGGGTCCCGGGGGGTGAGGGGGGGCATTCAGGAATGAGAGGAGGGGTTGGATGGGGCAGCGGGGGGCGGTCGGGGGGGGGGGTTGCAGAGGTGGTCAGGGAACGGGGGGGGGGGGGGGGGGGGTGGGAGGGGGCAGGGGCCGGGCCACGCCTGGCTGTTTGGGGAGGCACAGCCTCCGCTAACTGGCCCTCCATACAATTTCTGAAACCCGATGCAGCCCTCAGGCCAAAAAATGTTTGCCCGCCCCTGATCGAATATAATGGAGGAAATCAGCTGTTTGTTTTAAACTTGCTAAAGTCTCACTTTTACTCGATATAACCTTTATAAAATACCTTCAGAAGTACTATGTACTTTGATTAAAGAGCATGGACTATCAATATCACCAGAAAGGTATTTGTAAAACCCACTTTGAAAATAGAAGCTTTCGAAGTAACAAATCCTCCAGGTCTTGTGGCATTACCTATGAAAACCAGGGGAAAACCAAATCAGAAATAGAGGTTTCCCACTGACTTTGGTCTCTGGCAACACTATCCACTGATTCAAGACACAAAAGGTTCAGCAGTGCGCAACTGAAGTCATTCTTCTCTTTCAAACCCTGCTATTTAATTGCCATCAACATATCATGGGAATGGCTAATGAGAATATGGTTTTTAATTAGATAATATTGTGTGCAGTTTGCACTTCCATACAGAAACATAGGGTCTTTCTATCTTGGAACTATAAAAACTGTCATTCTTACCTCAAAGACTGTCTTTGCTGCATATCCTTGCACATCATCCCTGTTAATCACAATCTGAATAACTCTGTACCACACCTCTTCACTGACGTAGTCCCCGGCAATACGAATCAAATTCAAGATTGTATCCACATACCAGGTATAATCCACTGCATACTTCTCAGCTAGAATTGCAACCTTCAGCACCTGAGCAAAACAAAAAACTGAAGTAAATCTAAAGAAATCTATAATGAATGGGTATCCTTAGCTAAAAGGCATGATCCAAGCCAAGAAGTTACTGTGAAGCGCTGTTCACTGAAATAAGTGTTGAATCAAGGAGGAATGTAGAAAACACAGTATCTAATGATAGGGTTCCAGAAATCCTTGCTCAAATAAAACCCTTATTGATGTTAGTGTCAGTTTTGCCTGAATATACACTTGGGCCCTTAGTAAAGGCAGGCCAAACAATGTAGAAAAATATAGTTAATAAGATTTAAACCATTTAAGACCTGTGTATCTGAAAGTCAGAGCGCATTTGTTATACGCACAGCAGCCTGGAGACAGCTTGATATACCCCAATCTAGATGAGGTATCTATAACAGCATTTCTTGAGAGAAGAGTAAACAAGTTAAAGCAGACTATGGTATCCTTGAGCTGTATAATTAATAAATTAATCCAGGTTGCTGACAGAATAGGACAGTACAAGAAGTGAGATCTTTGATCAATTTAAACCAGCCAATTAAGGACTCTTGATCAGAGAACTCCATTTGTTGCAGTTGTACAGAGGAAAAAATATTCCCAGATTACCGGCATATAAGACACGCTCATACCCTGGGTAAAGCCTTAAAGGGTTATAGCTGTTGAGTGGGTTCTGGGGGCCAATATTGAATACTACATCAAGTACCAAAGAATAGACATTTCAATTACTAATCTTCACTCAAATCTTCCCAGCATGGTTAGGGTGCCAAGAAAATATACCTGAGCACTTCTTCTCCACTTTAACTCTCACCTCATATAAAGTATTGATTTCCAAGAAGTACTCGGGATTGAAAGACAGTTCTAGGTTTTGCAACAATTAGAGTATTACATACATACTATACAAATTAGCACTTTGATTTAATCACACTAAGTTTTTAAACAAACTAGAGTTCTGCTGTACATTGTACAATTTAACACTAATCTAACAAATACAACTCTTGAGGCCACTGAAGGAAATTTGACAGTACAGTACGTAGTTCTGCGCCATCCAGAATTTGAGAATAAAGTTTCATTTTTAATATCACACTCCTCCCAAGGACAACACACAATTCTAACAATAAAAAGTCTAAATTATTAGACTACAACCACCTTTCAGATCACATTTTTTAAATTTTTGCTACCTTGAAAATATCTTTAATAGAGAGCGATTGCACAACATCCAACAGCATGTTGTGTTTTCCAACACAGGCTAATTGAGATTGGCAAAGGGGGCACAAATAACTCACAATTTCTTCTCTAATGGAATAATCAGCAGTCTCCAAGTAATTTAGCATTTCGGCAACAATCTGCTGGGCATTGCTTCGGTCACACATGGCATACAGGAGATCTACTGCTCTTTGTCTTACACTCACATCCCTTTCGGTCTGTAAGAGAAGCCATAATGTTCACTCAAAGTAGAAGTTCTATGGAAAATCATGTGACAGGCAAGAGAATCCAAAATTACTTCAGTTCCCATCTGCAATTTATGTAATTTACTGAAGAGATGCAGCTTCCATACTGAACACTGAATTACTGTTAAGGATTGACTGTAACAATTGCCACAGTTATCTGTGTTATTCCTACGTAGAGGTACTATGCAAGTTCATTCTGCAACCAAGAACCTAGGAGTACACTGTATTTCCAGTAAAACAAGCTGCTTGCTTTATCCCCACCTCCATCATGCGTTTAGGGAAGGGATTAGCTGAGGCCTATTTATTTATTTTGGGCAAGAGTTATTGTGTAAAAGTTATTTCACAGTTAGTGCACTTTGTTTTTCTACTGTATATTTTAAAATTTGTAGAAGTGCCTGGAGAACAGGAAAGGCACTTAGTATAAAATGACATATCAAACCAGTACACTACCAAGTAATGCAGAGATAGTACTGGCCCATTTAACCCTTATGGCCTATTACCTTTTTGTACAGAACTAAGCATTTGCCACCTTATGGGACATTAATAAGCATTACTAAGATTGTCAAGTTGTCAGAACAAGAGGGAAATTAACTAGCTATCTGGAGGTTTTAAATCAGACATTCAGCATTAATGGAAGTTGCAGTTAAATGCATTAAGGGTACTTGCTGTGACAAACTAGGGCATGTAGCCCACCTTATGAATCTAGAAGGAAATTATTAATATACTTCAGAGGTGCTACTGGAGAAAAACACTGAAGAAATCAAGATATATGATAAAAACCAATTCTGTACTGTGTTTTGAATCTGTTGCCCGTGTGTTAAATTCATTAGCGGGTTTTTAATCAGTGGATGTCTGAATTGCAATTGTGCCTCAAACCCCAGTACTCTAGGCACAACTGCAGTTCAAACATCCGTCCACTGATAAAAACCTGCAAGAATGTACAGTACAGATTACTGCTTCCTTCCTTTTCAAGTCTTGTCTCCTGACATCTGAATGTTATTATCATGTGGCTTAAGTAAGAAAACTCATGACACGACTACTCTGAGAAGTAAGAACACTGATGAGCTTAGCACAAGAGCAACAGATTCAAAACTGATGCAGAACATATGCCAGAATTTTTAAACGCTTGATATTTACCTTCAATGCATTGATAACTGTTTCTATATGAGTTTTCACGGCTTCATGGGAAAATTCAGAGCTGGCAAGCGTGCACATGCTTTCCAGTGCTAGATAACGCAGATTAGTCTCCCGGTGCTGCAAGAACTGACCTAGTTGGTTACAGGCACGGACTAGCAGGTTTGGCTCGCTGCACAGAACAGGAGAGAAAGTGAAAGGGTAAAAAGCAACAAATTAGAAAAATATTATAAGAACACTAGGTAATTACTCCACAAGAGTAGCACACATCAGAATTGGCTTTATTATAAAGGAATAAGAATTAAACTGAAACTACTTAAGTGTCCCTACAGAGATAGTGCACATCTATGTACTGCAGGAGATAATTAAGTTTTCAGATATTGTAAACATTCATAGCCTCTCTCTAGATTATAGAAGCGGGTTAAGACTAGAAACAGGGCCCAGATCCACCAATTCAGGGGCTATTTCTCAAACATCAAAACAATCAATTCTCTGGTGCAATATTCCATAGCCACAAGTATTGTTCCAATCGAAGTATGTCCAGCTGCCCCCAACTAAGGCACGTAATTCCCTGCATTATGTAGATGAATGCAGGGCTCACACAGATACATTCCTCCTCCCATTCACTACCAGATGATTAAAAACAGTTTTCCTCCTTCATGGATACATCCTGTGCAATTTCCACATTAAAAAAATATCAAACCTGTATTTTATTGTGATGGTGAGTAAATATGGAACACAGGATCCCAGGAGGCTACACAGGGCTGCTCAGGCCACCATCAAAGCATAACCCTGATAGATACATCTTGGTATTAAAGCAGAAACAATGTAGTTTTATTGCCAAATAAAGAAGTTTATCCAAGATACAGCCCAGCCCAGATTGTCTGAAGCCTTGTTGGCCCCCAAGCAGTTATTCAGTTTTTAAATTAAGTACAAATTAAGTACCTGAAATTGACTGAAGAAATTAAATATATAGCATATACAGTGAAGACTCCATATATTCATTCTTGCAATTAAGTGTTATTAGAATGGATTTTCATCTATACTAGGACTCAGAAATAGTAGACCTGCTGCAGTTGCTTGGAATTTTAGCATTTTTGCAGCAGCAAAGACAGCTAAAAAGGTGAATATAAGACTTTGCTTCCACTATGGATAATACAGACTCAGCTTGTACAAACTGAATAGTGTTTTTCAGCAGAGTTACGGTTATACATTGTTCAAATGCGAACAAGAAGCAAAAGCTAAAATGATGGCCCATTTTGAAGTCAAAACCGTTCTCAAGCAAGTGAGCATGCAATATCTGTGTGCAGTCAGCTTAAGCATAAGTCTAACATCAAACTGAGTGGACTGCAAAAATAATTTTGTTTTTTATTTTTTCAAGTTTACAAGATACCCCTACACGTACACATTTACATGAGGAGAAAGCTATACTCTTGCTCAATGAATATGATTTTATATATTTCATGTGTCCTTTGTGTATATTCTTTCAAGTGACCTGGGTTCAACTGTACTCTTTAAAATCTAAACTGAGACAGTTATCATAAAATAGCAGGTTAAAGCTAGTAATTTTCAGGAGATGGTAATAGAAAATGAAACTGAATTTTATTAGAAGGTAAATTAATGTTAAGGACAATGTCAAGCATGGTAGCCTTAAGCATTGCTCTACAAGTAGTAGACTCACCTGTCATGGTGTATAATTAAGCTTATTGCCTCAAATAGCACAGCATTCTTAGCATTTGAGTGTTGCACTTTCTTAGATTTTGGGGGCTCCTGAGCTTTGTTAAGGATAGTTTCCAGGCATTCTGTGAGACGACCACGTACCGCAGCATCTTCTGGAGGAAACAAGACAAATTGTTGGACAACTTCATTTTGCTCAACACTATTGATTAAATACCCATCCTTGCCTTCAGATGAAGTTATTCCCCAATTGAGAAGAATATTGTTGGTGTCAGCACTAAATTTACAGAAGAACTCTATGAGCATAAGGGTGGAATTAGAAGACTCCCTACATTGCATGGAACAGTGTTGGCAACTAACACGATCCTTTACCCCATTACCTGGAGGTGGATAGCACTGTAACAACCTCAAAAGCTTTACAGACAACCAAGGAGCAGGGACAAAATAATAGGTATAATCCTGGAGATCGGTTGATGCAGATGTCACAATCTGTAAAAACACAAATAATCAGCATCTGAATGACAGGAGTTCATAAGATGATCTGACATTATGAAAATGTTCACTATTCATTTTAAGTACCAATACAATGTGTAAATGAACTTACAGTTAGACATAACAAATTTTAGTAGTATATATAGGCAAAGTATAAGTTTCATTTTTAATAGGCTGAACAAATCACCTAATAAGGATTAATGTGCAAATAATACAATATACCTAAATAAGACACTGAAGAATATCAGTTGTATCAATATCAGTAATCAATAACTCCGCCAATTAGAAATGTCTTATATTTAGTTTTATAGGACTAAAGAAACCCAATTTAATAAAGACTGAGAAGTGTTTGTTCAAAAACAAACAGATGAGTGAGAAAAAAAAAAAAAAAATCCCGCACCCATCCACCAGCGGATGGTGGATAGTGGCAAAGTGAACCCTGGATAGATTCATATGCTTCAGATTGATACTGCAAAAAAAAAAAAAAAAAAAATCAGCAGGGCTTCTCTTTCTCAGGATTTATTAATTTCATTTTGGGAGAGTGATTTTTGGCAATTTTGAGGTTTTTTTAGTTATTCAAAATTCAGGTATTTCAGGGCTCTCTCTTCGTATATAGAGTAATCCTTGAAATGTTCCCTAGTCTACTTTAAAGTAGTACTATTTAAAACAGAATTATGTTAAAATGTACTAGATAACCTTTAGTGCACACCAGCAGGGTCTACACAGACTAATGAATGCACAACACATTAGACACTTTAGAAGTCCACATTCCTGCTCTGTGTAGACAAAACCACAGATACAAGTAAACATTTTTTGTATTTTTCTGGTGATTACTGGATAAACACCAATTTCTTTCTTTTTCTTTTTTTGCATTTGTGGTGTTTTATCAGTGTTCATCGATTAAAACCAAAAAATCAGAAGCCCTCAATAATCAGATACAGAAGTGCCTTGTGGAGTTCACGACCTCTAAAACCAAGGTGAAAATCTCATCCATTTTGCCACAAAAGTTTGTACTGTAGAATCTTTTCTACTGTTGTTCAAAATATTTTGAACCTATGTAGAACAAGATTTCTCTAGGTTCATTCGCCATCCGACAGCAAGGCTGGGAAACAGAGGGAATTCAGATCTGGTGCAAAATTGACCTTTTGTTTGGTAACACAAGGTCTGGAATCAGAGGCAATGATCTTAGGTGGCAGACAGATTGTGTATCTCAGTGAACCAAAATTGTCTCTGCTACACTGGTACTATTAATATCTTTTCACAGTACTGCCTGATCTTGTGTAAGACCCTCAGGAATAAACACAAAATAGGTGGGTTTGTATATACTGGGTCCTTGACCACCAGCTTAGAAAAGCAACCGAAAGAAAGCTTGGGATGATAAATCTCTCTAGAACAGAAGACCTGACACTTGTGTACTGTTGTATATCACAAACAGGTCCATGCAATGGAAGCCGTAATCTAAACCGTCTTATTTGAGTGAGTCTTTGATCTCCCACTTGTGATTGGAAGTGAACTAGCCACTTAGCTCGCCCCCTAGGCTGTTCTGCAGATGTAAGCATACTTGAAGTGTTTCTTTCTAGAGGTTGGGGTTTAGACCCAATGAAATGAAATGTGGCCAGTGAATCCTTCAGCAAATGAAAGCATCATCTGTTTTGGAATTAAGTCTGGCCCTTCAAAGGCCAAATTCTCTACCATGGACTGAACCTCCTGTGCAAAGCCAGAGCTCCGAAGCCATGAAGCTCAATAAACAATTGCCCCTCTTATATGTTGGAGACGGGTATTAACATTTGAGAAGAGAACAAACCTGAAACAATGAGTAAATAAATTAGCCAGCAATATTGGGAAGTCCATTGAAAGACTGCACAAATGGAGATCTGAAATCTGCCACTTTGGAGACACAGAATTCCTGGCAATTCTTTTAGAGGAGTGAGTACTTAACTGGCTCAAATGTCTGATGTGTCTAAACACGATGTAATAGAATGGTTTCCCAATGTGAAGTTGGCTGGACATTAAGGGGAAATAAATGGTAGTAAATAGTAAAATAAAATATGTCACTGCTTACAGTTAAATTATGCACCAGTGGATTTCTTCATCTTTAAGGACATAGGCGACAAGAGGAAATGTTAATGGATGGTCAGTTCATCAGCAACAGACCAATAAAATATTAACGTAAGAAGGGCTATATGAGTACTTTGCAAACATTAATATTCAACAGAGATTGAAATCACTTGCAGATGCAATACAGCAAGTCTGTTTCAGAGCAGACTATAACCCAAGTCTGTTAATTCAGTCCAAGTGAATCTGATCTAGAAAGTTAAACAGCCCTGGTTACATTTTACTACAACTGTTTAATAAGAGACTTACTCTGCTTAGCCTAGAGACAGCCAAAGATACTGAAGTTTTAAACTCTTCTGGGTTCTTCTGTGCCAAAGTAGTGATAAGACTGGTAGCAGCAGTAACCACACCCTGGAGGAAAACAGAATTACTAACGTTTTTGTTCAAATATCAAATATTTTACATCTGAAATTGTTTAAAAGCTTCAAATGAAAGACGGCCATTTGTTATGTACCAGACACCCAAATTTATCCTTAAGTTTAGTATCATCTTCTTTAGTGTATACTATTAAGCCTAAAACCCAAAATCCAGTTTACATTAATCTACAGTTGTAAGTGATACCTTAAAATAAGCTAGCTGGCTTTTGTCAATTTTTTTCCCAGTAGAAAAAGGAAAGGTAGTGAGACTTCTTGGATACTCCCTCTTATCCACAATTTCTCCACTACACGGCCCCAGAATTGGTAACCCTCCCTTTTGGCCAAAATCTGAAATGACTACTATTTATGTTTGTTACTGCATGACACATTTGCTGTGTTTTCAGTGGTATGCTACACTATGCCTTGCTTGCATTGATGGTGCTCCACATTTTTATTAAGAGTAGCCCTATCAAAGATCAGAAAAGCAGTATTTCAGTCTAATTCTGAATTCTAAAACAAATATACATTCCAAGTAAGGTTCAGTAAAAACAAATTATGCAATGGAAGAAAGCAAACAGCTAGGAAGGAGCAATCTTGCTTTTGCAAGAGGAGCATGGAAGAAAGGATACCTACCCCAATTGTGACAGCAGGCTAGCTGCAAACATCTTGTCTATTATGTTTCACTTATCATGAAATGGGAACTTCAGATGGTTTGATTATGAAGTTTCAGTGTAGCTTAAGTACCCCTATATGCACTGCTAACTGCTGTTTTGAAATTACTGAACAGCAATATGCAATCACATCCACACCCAGGATGACAATGCTGCGATTTCAGGGTCCTGTCATTTTTCTATATTGATAGTAATCGGCGCTTAATTTATACCACAGTCCTCACAAGGGGAGCTTTTAGGTGTTTGTGAAACATGCGCACGTGCACACACACTTATATGGGACACGAGTTTTTTTTAAAACCAGGCGTACAGTAGAAGACATGGGAATGCCAACCCCTTACTGATGTAGGTCTAAATACTGACTAATTCTAGACATTAAGTACCTTTCCCAGAGTAAGAAGAGCTCCGTGTAGCTCAAAAGCATGTCTCTTTCACCAACAGCAGCTGGTCCAATAAATGATATTACTGTACCCACCTGGTCTCTCTAATTCTAGACGTGACTCTCAGGAATTAGTATAACCAATAACTGATTAAAAGAGAGGCTATGGGGTATCTTTATTTCTCCCTTTAGGAGAAATGCAATTCAACCTGTGTTTTATTTTTAAAAAAAAACACTCAGTGATGCAAAAATGTAAATTGCGGATATGAATTAGTCTCACAGCAATTTAAATAGTTTCCTTCATTTAACATACTGTATTAACAGAAACTATGATTTCCCCTACAGTGACTGGGCTAGACCACTGAATGGTCTGATCCCAGAAGAAATAATGCTATCATAAGCTTACCAAATGCTGGTCATTCAGAAGATGCACCACCCTGGATGTCCAATCTCCCATGGGAACGAAGTCAGGAGAAGTTCTGTACAAACGCAGCAAGCACAAGGCAGCACTCTGCTTCACACTATCCATGGTGTCTCTGCAAGATAACATCTCTTTTCAGCCCAAATTAAGAGTTTTGGTACTACACAGTGGACCAGTATCTGGTCATGCTTTTCGCAGGCCACTAAACACTATTATCCAGAAGTAAACAAGAATGGAAACCACCACAAGTGTTTTAGTATTTTTTTTTTATTAAAAGTATTAGATCCCTTAGTTAATTATTTAAATTACTTTCAACTACTTTACATTTGTTATTAAGTACTTTGATAAGTGGTTTAAAAATTTGGCTGGTTACACTAACTGGTGTAACTTCTTCTGTATGCTTTGCTAAAACTATTTGGCAACATAAAAGCAATAGTGAGCCACAACACTCCCTTGTCTCCTAAAGGAACAGTACACAGGAGATTTTTCTTCACTCTATAGCTGGAAGTACACTAGTGTTAGGGATGTGACAAGTCAGAGTAAAGCAATACCAATGATCTTCAGACAGTATATATTTGAAATTAGGGAAGGGATGAGAGTGAAACCAGGATGTCAAGGTAAATGTTTGTAGTTGAAAAATGGTTTACAAATATTGTATGACCTTTATTTCCCAGAGAAGAGATACCAAAAGATGCTGTCTGGAGAGCACCATCAAACTCCATATACTTAATTTGCCTTGTCCATTAAGAATAACTCACAATCTTTAGGAAACGTGATTCATGAACAAGCTAATACATTTAAATTTCTAGGGCATTACTTGATTTCTGTAGCGGTATCCTGCTTGGTACCACTTTATGGAACTAAACGTTTTCCTTTCAGCCACATGACTTAAGACAAAATTAAATGCAGCCCTTTATTGTATGGGGAACTGGTAGCGAATCCTAAATTTAGAGTATTTAACACTAAAGTCTGAATAACTTTTGAAATCCAGCAAGGACAAAACCCTGAGGGCTAAACTGTCTTTTGCTTTCTCATGAAATTCTGTTCAGGCTTGGCTGAGCTCTGCAATGTTCAATCACCATTTATTTACCTTCTGTTGCTTGTGTACATTAGGAAAGTCAAAGTAACGGACTATGATTATTCTAACAAGCCAGGCCTATTGCTGCTGTTGCTACAGCAACAATATCACCACAACACTGTACTAGGAGCAACTGGAAAATGCCAGAGCATTCGTGGAAGTGACCAGGGAGAGGAAGGGGAAGAAGAGAGTCTTGCAGAGCCTGCTCCCTTCAAATCCAATACATGACTTAGTGTGCCATCCTCCTTTGGGTGCCAACACATGAGGCAGAAGCTCTAGGACCGCCTATGAGAGGATGATGAAGATACATGATAGGGTATTGTTAGTTGCACACAGTGAAAATAGGTAGAAATTAAAATAAAATTAAAAAAAAATACACTGAGGAAGTTGCATAAAAACCATTCTTCCAAAGATTCTTTGTAAGTGGCAAAGTCAAGCTCTTAAATTAGAAAATGTTAGATTTACAATTGCATGTGCACAATTAAGGTTGCATGTGCATTGTGATGCAATTTCTAATTATATGATCATATGCAATTTTTTCCACAGGATCCTAGGCATATTCAGTGCACAGGATGAACAAAGCCAGAATTAATCTTGCACAAGCAAGTACATCTGGCACTATCTGGAGGGCTTGACTTTACAACCCCATTATCTTTTTAGTATGCGATACATTCAATTATAATGATGAGAGGTGAATGAAGCAACCAAAAATCTAGTTAGTATTTCAAAAAGTGTATGAGAAGGATCCACACAAACTAAGAGTACTTAATACTAATATAGAAAGCAGAATTGAACTGAATTACTACCTGGAGGTTTTCATTTCTTAAGTCCTGAGAATTTTCATGGACATAGGCCTAGTCCTATGATCATAATTTCTTATTACACAGTTACTGGAGTGAATTCCAGTCAGATAATAGTTGCAAAACTTTTGTTTGGGCCACGGACTTGCTGGGCAAAACAGGGAAAAAAGATTAGTGGCAATTTAAAAGAAAACAGTCACTCAAATGATTTCCTGTGGATATAAAACCTTGCCTATTCCTATGTACACCTAGAAAGGAAATGTGGATTTTGGAGGAAGCTCGAATATAGGGTGGAAAAAAAAAATTTCACCTTCCTAATGAAATCATAGACAGCAATAATGAGCTTCCAATGGAGTACATTTCTAATAAGGAAATCTGTAGTTGAAGTATGGTGTTTTCAGATTCATTCGCTGCCCATTTTATTAGAATTTATCTGAACAGGAAAAAGGAAACAGCTTTTGTTTTCCCAGGCAAAATATTTTGGATCACACTTCTGGGACAAAACGTAGATATTTAAAAAAAAAATTCATAGATATGTGGGTAATGAACTGGACTCTGCAAAAATGCAATTTGGGTTATTAGCCAAGAGGTAATTAGGCCAAAAATATTTTAACTTGTGTGCAAAAAGTTAAGTTTCGATATCTATGTTTAGTCACTTAAGCAAGCAACCCGATTTTCAGGTGTGTTGAGCACTTACCTTCAGTTCCTAATGACGGCAATTGGCACTTAGGTGCGTAAATATGGCTTTCGACCCCTAACTTCATGCTGAGAACCACTAGTACTACCTATTGTTGTGCAGTTGTTTCAAATACAATACAATACATACCCAGCTACAAGTATTTTTGGAATTTCTCCAGCAAATGCTTCTGCCATTTCCCGACTACCCACATTGGCTATACAATGCAAAGCTAGTCCCATGAAGGTGGGGTTGCGGCTGGCCAGGTCATTCTTGATTGCATTGTTTATCAAGCGGATCAGCTCACTGTTGGAGTTCACTAGCACGGAGATGAAAAGATATCCCTGTGGTTCAGAAAAGGGACAAGAAAAAGTAATATTTCTGATCAATCAAGTCAGCTAAAACTAATTTTATGTCATTTGCTAATATTGTAAGGTATTCTATGCACTCATGCAGTTCCCCTCCAGCAATACTTGTCCTTACAGCTCTCCCAAGCGTTCTGTGTAAATAAGTCCCTGGAATTTCAGTCCAATAATAGAATAAAGAGGTCCAGAGTTGCAGAGTATGATAGCAATGTCTTCGGGGGGGGGGGGGAGAGGGGAGGGGGAAAATCACATGTACGTTCCACCCAAATCATATATTTTGCTCCTCAAAGACCCAAGCTCTGCTCAGTACTAGTCACACACCATCACTTCACACGCACCTAGTAAACGCTAGTTTTCCTCTGAGTCTAAAATGTCTAATGTTCTACTTAAAGAAAGTACCTTGTCTAATGGAATGTGTGTTTCTTGATAAGGTCCATTAAAAATGTAACATGACTAGTCTTCTGTTGCAGTTAGTGCAACATTTATTTTAGAGGTTAAAAAGGCAAGAAAATCCATCAAAGTTACTTATTCAATAAAGTAAAGGACTCATATGTACAGCTAAAAGTTACTCCGCAATCCCAGCTAGAACCAAGCTAAGACCATGCAAAAAGAAGGCAAGAAAAAAAAAATATTTAAGCCGCTAGTTATATAGTGAGGCAGGACAGGATAGGCAACTAGGCAGTATGACATTTCATAATTATTTCCTTCTTCACGGTTGATAAATTACTCACAATTTGTTTCTCTGTGTATCTGTTAGAACTCAGTAGGTTTACAGCCTCCATGTGGCCAAAGTCAATATCATGCCCCAGGAGGAAGATGAAAAGTAGCTTGCAGACATACTTTTTCTTACTGTAACCATCCAGAGCCTTGTCACCTAGTAAACAATTAAGAAAAAACATATTTGAAAACCAAGACTCTTTGAAATGCAGCACAGGCATTGTATATCTCTGTATGGCCACACACTAGCATTCTAGTACCACACAGTACCATTCAAGTACTACAACATGTGCTAAATGTTGTTTCAAGAGTTCTAGTTTTACCCTGTCAGGTTTCATTATTTATGTTTAAGGTTCTTTTGATCCATTAGATGGGAGAATCTATGCAAGTGCTTATTACACAATACAAAAGTTATTGGGTAGCTTGACTAGATATTCTGATAGACACTCTGACTGTAAAAAAATCTATTAATACATTCAGACTTAAAACAACCCAAAGTGGCGTACAATACTTTTGAACTAAGCTGCAAAGCAAGCAAACACTGATCAGATGTCTCTACAAAACATTGGCACCAGAACACCGGTAACCAAATATACTAGGGCTGTCGATTAATTGCAGTTAACTCTCACGATTAACTCAAAAAAATTAATCGTGAAATCATACTGTTAAACAATAGAATACCAATTGAAATTTATTAAATAAATATTTTGATGTTTTTCTACATTTTCATATATACTGTATTCCATGTTGTAATTGAAATCAAAGTGTACATTATTTTTATTACAAATATTTGCACTGTAAAAATGACTGACAAAAGAAATAGTGTATTTCAATTCATCTCATACAAGTACTGTAGTGCAATCTCTTTGTCGTGAAAGTGCAACTTACAAACGTAGATTTTTTTTGTTAAATAATCGCACTCAAAAACAAAACAAAGTCCACTGAGTCCTACTTCTTGTTGAGCCAATCGCGAAGACAAACAAGTTTGTTTACATTTACATGAGATAATGCTGCCCTCTTCTTATTTACAATGTCACCAAAAAGTGAGAACAGGCATTTACATGGCACTTTTGTAGCTGGCATTGCAAGGTATTTTACACGCCAGATATGCTTAACATTCGTATGCACCTTCCTGCTTCGGCCACCATTCCAGAGGACATCCTTCCATGCTGATGATGCTCATTAAAAAAATAATTTGTTAATTAAATTTGTGACTGAACTCCTTGGGGGAGAATTTTATGTCCCCTGCTCTGTTTTACCTACATTCTGCCATATATTTCATGTTATAGTAGTCTCAGATGATGATCCAGCACATGTTGTTCGTTTTAAGAACTCTTTCACTGCAGATTTGACAAAACACAAAGAAGGTACCAATGTACGATTTCTAAAAATAGCTACAGCACTCAACCCAAGGTTTAAGAATCTGAAGTGCCTTCCAAAATCTGAGAGGGACGAGGTGTGGAGCATGCTTTCAGAAGTCTTAAAAGAGCAACACTCCAATGCGGAAACTACAGAACCCAAACCACCAAAAAAGAAAATCAACCTTCTGCTGGTGGTATCTGACTCAGATAATGAAAATGAACATGCGTCAGTCTGCACTGCTTTGGATTGTTATCGAGCAGAAACCGTCATCAGTATGGAAGAATGTCCTCTGGAATGGTGGTTGAAGCATCAAGGGACATATGAATCTTTAGCAAATCTGGCATGTAAATATCTTGCAATGCTGGTAACGACAGGCCCACGAGAACGCCTGATCTCACTTTCAGGTGACATTGTAAACAAGAAGCGGGTAGCATTATCTCCTGCAAATGTGAACAAACTTGTTTTTCTGAGTGATTGGCTGAACAAGAAGTAGGACTGAGTGGACTTGCAGGCTCTAAAATTTTACATTGTTTTATTTTTTAATCCAGTTTTTTGTACATAATTCTACCTTTATAAGTTCAACTTTCATGATAAAGAGATTGCACTACAGTACCTGTATTAGGTGAATTGAAAATTCACATTTCTTTTGTTGTTGTTTTTACAGTGCAAATACTTGTAATCAAAAATAAATAAAAAGTGAGCATTGGTATTGTGTTGTAATTGAAATCAATATATTTGAAAATGTAGAAAACATCCAAAAATATTTGCATAAATGGTATTCTATTATCTTTTGAATCGCGCGAATAATCTTTTTAATCATTTGACAGCCCTAGAATATACAAATGTCAGTTTTGTCCCACAATCTGTGGAAATGGCAAAGCCCTAATACTCTGGATTAAGGCATTTAAGTATTCTACAACAGTTAATGCACACATCAGGAAGTGGAGGAAGAGTCTGACAAAAAAATTATTTTGATTATGCCTTTTTATAAAGTCTGAAACATTACATTGACTATCATGTGTACAGGCAATAAGGTAAGATTAAGTTCCTCTTGAATACTTGCTATCCAGTCAGCTTTACAAGTCAAATTTCAAAATGATTTAGATTACAAGATTAAGGTGTTTTGTTTAAAAAAGGGGGGGGGGGAAGATTGCTCTAAAACAGTTTACCTTTTATGGTTGTAGTACAGACCTCTAAAATATGTACTTCTGAAAGCTCATCTTCATTATTTTCCAACCTTATTTTCTTTGTTAAAATCCTATTGTAGCGAACGGAAGACTAAACGGGAGGGGGGATATGATAGAGGTCTATAAAATCATGTTGTGGAGAAATGAATAAAGAAGTTTTATTTACTCCTTCACATAACACAAGAACTAGGGGTCACCAAATGAACTTAATAGGCAGCAGGTTTAAAACAAAACGTAAGGAATTACTTCTTCACACAACGCATAGTCAACATGTGCAACTCATTGCCAGGGGAAGTTGTGAAGGCCAAAAGTATAACTGGGTTAAAAAAAGAATTAGATAAGTTCATAGAAGATGGCTAATAGGTCCATCAGTGGTTAAGATGTCAGGGACACAACCCCATGCTCTGTGTCCCCCTAAACCTCCAAAAAAATGGGACTGGATGACAGGGGATGGATCACTCAATAAATTGCCCTGTTCTGTTCATTCCCTCTGAGTCATCTGGCACCAGCCGCTGTAGGAAGACAGGATACTGGGCTTGATGGACCGTTGGTCTAACACAGTATGGTCATTCTTATGTACTGAACAGTACAGCCAAAGCCATCTGGCTGTAAGTGCAATCTTTCCGGCAGATGATCTGTTACAGTATAGGAATTATTTTCTTGTAGAGAAACATGAACATTGTGCCTTTTGGCCAACAGCCTCTTCCTTTCCCCATTCAAGCCTACAAGGAAACGTCTAATGATCAGATAGTTTCCTAGAGTTCTGTCCGTGTAACAAAATTTCAGGGAAAGCTTCTTCCCAGAAGCTTATAAAAACTTTTCAGCTATTTTTACCTCACTCAGAGTGAAACAGATATATCTGTCAAATCAATTACCATTCTTTTTTGATGGGCAGCATTAGTCAGCACAGGATTGTATGGAATAAAGCCTTATATGAAAGGTTACATAAGAGCAAATATGATTTTGGGATAATCAAAAATACAGCAGCAAAACCCAACTCACTGCATGTGTTTAACAGGCTGAGAAGTGACCAGCTAAACCTACAGCACCTGAATCAACAGGCCAGTTTTCAAACAAATCCATGTTTATGTATTTAAAGAAGTGACCCTGATTTTCAGAGGTGCAAAGTATCCACAACTCACTGACATGTATTGATAATCAGGCCATTTAATTTGGTGGTTAAATATTGAGGAACTTCAGCATTCACATCTATGAAGATGTCCAAAATTTTTAAGCGCTGCGATTACATAAATTCAATTAGTTGCAGTTGACATAGCAAGCTCAGTGACTGTACAAAGTGTCATAGACAGGCATAATCTGCAATATGCCAGGCACTCTACTGGTTGCAGTATTGCCAAAAAACCTGGATAAGGCTCCGAAGAGCCATAAGATTTAGGGAAAGGAGGGGGATTGGGAGGGGGAGATATTTGCTTTTTCAGCCTTGAGGGTCCAAATTTTCAAGTTTCTCTACAAGCATGAAAGCTAACAAATTTTTTAATTATAGTAAAGATTTTCATGTTACCACTTGATTCCTGGAGCTAGGGCTTGAAGAAAAAACCAAATATCACTAAACTTGTGGAAAAAAATGGGAAGAAACTGTTTTCTAACCTATATCAGACAAGTGTAGATATGACAAACTGACAGGAAAAAAAAAAAAAAAAAAAACACACCACACACCACAATGGCCAGCATGAAGAAAATCCCTTTACATAATCTGAAACTTAAGGCAAACAAGATTGCCTTGACTTCTTGAGACCATGAGTGCCAGAACAATTAAATCAAGGATTTAAATTAGCCATGAATCATGCCTGTGCTTCTGCATATAGTACTCCTGGGGGGATTCTGCACCACTGCGCAATGCAGAATTAATATTCTATGCCAAATTTCATTTCCCCCCATAGAACTGATGCTGCAGAGCTCCTGGCTGCCACTAGGGGCCGCTGGATCCAGCGGAGCCCAGCTCTCCAGACTCTGTGGAGGAGGAGGTGAGAACTGAAGGGGGAGCTGGAGGGTTCTGAGCAGCTGCAGTTCCCAGCAGATCCTAAAGGAAGGAGGTGGCGTGCAGAAAACTCTGTATAAGCCTGGGACCCAGAATCAGGCTGTTTCTCCTTCGGGATCTCTGGGGGTGCGGGGGGTTGGGGGTGCCCCACAGCTGGGCTCTGAGGGGTAGGAGGTGCGGGTGTCTGAGACCAAAGGGGCAGTTTTCTCCCCCCAACATGTGCCCAGCTGGCATGTGTGGCACACCCATACTGAGGCGCCCAACAAAAGCATCATAGTGGCTTCTTTAACTCTGGGGGAATTTGTTGTTGTCTGTATTGTTACAGACATACTTGCTGACAGGGATTTTGAAATAAATTACCAAAAATAATTGAAACTGGCATGATTATATAGTGTTATTTTGACAAATAAAATACGCAGAATTTTGCAGAATTTTAAATAATTGTGCACAGAGTTTTCAATTTTTTGGCACAGTATTCCCGCAGGAGTAATACAGAAGCAGCAACACAGGTCAACTGACAAAATAGTCAATGTTACTATGCTGTTCTTGCTGGAGAAGCACTAAAGCAACAGCAGTACAGCCAGACAGGATCTTCTTTTGCTGATGGGG